GCAGGGGATTGGACTAGAAGATCTCCAAGGTCCCTTCCAACTGTTTATTATTATCGATCATCGCACAGTCAGCCAGATGTTCAGACTGGATTTGGCATTTTGTCTACCTATCGAGTCCTTACCCAGGACCTGGGATAGGCAGATGTGGATGTTTGATGGTATTACAGATATCGTCGCAGGATGGAAGCAGTTCCTAATAAGGCCGCCTTTTGCAATTGACTAATAGCGAATTTGTCAATGCCAATGGTGTTGTTGTTGTTGTTATTATTATTATTATTATTATTATTATTCAGCAGTAATTAGAATTAGAGCTCCTAAACTTTCCTGATTCCATTATAGCAGCAGAGAAACTAATTCAATATTCAGACCCTGGAAAATTAAGATTTTTCAATATTTCCTTGAAATACGTAAGAAATATCTAATATAATCAGAGAAAACTGGAATGAATGGATGAATGGCAGAGCTGGACGCCAATGCCCTGTATAAATCCTTCCTCAGTTCCAAGGAAGCAGGTGAAATAAATAAATTCAAGTTACATTGGTTGTACAAGAACCAGGTTTCTAACAGGTGGACATAAAAAAAACTTTGCATCGCTATAACAACAGCTGCAGCATTAGAGGAGGTAATACAGGATTGGTGATGCCAAAAGATCTTTTAATTGCAGTAAACTATGATTTAAAGCAAAACTTGTCTTTGAGCCAAGTTTTGCAAAGTGGAGATTAGCCTGTTCTCAGAGTCCCTATCAGTTTCATACTTTTTATTTTCAGCATCCTGATGCAGTAATTAAAATCCACATGCTTCTTTCAGACAAAAGATCATCAAAGAGAAAGCTCTACCGGACATTGAAAACTACATGTTTGAAAACCATGATCAGCTCCGACAAGCAGCCACAGAATGTATGTGCAACCTTGTAGTCAATAAAGAGGTATGCATTTCCATCTCCTGAAAATTCTGGTGAAGGGATCGCCAGTCTACAGCTTCTTCATCTAGGAATATTCAATACTACTGTATTTTATGGAGCAACAATTTAATTGATTTCCCTCCCCAACTTTCCCAGGTTCAAGATAGATTTATTGCTGAAGGAAATGACAGACTCAAGTTGATTGTCCTGTTATGTGGCGAGGATGATGACAAAGTCCAGAATGCAGCTGCAGGAGCCCTCGCAATGCTCACTGCAGCCCATAAAACACTCTGTCATAAATTAACTCAAGTGGTAAGTCTCTTCTTGCTTTTCATCCTCAGTGTCTAGGTAAAAATGCGAGGTTAAAGTTGTTTTCAAAATGCTGATTTGCTTTATGTAATTCTGTGGTCCTTTGCTAGTTACTTTTTCATGTACTGATAGTAGGGTTTCAAGAACACATATGAACACAATGGAATACCTGTGCTCCTTGAAGGAGAGGAGGCATCATTCTGCTGTTCTCCCATTTTTTCACTCCTATCCATCATCTCATAAGATCTGCAAATTGTCCCCTGCTTAAAATGCTATTACTGTGCTGGAATGGCCCAAGGCAATCCAGGAATCAAAATTTTAGGAATATTACAATATTAATATTTCATCCCTTATTTTATTTAATAGATTTTTGTCCCATCTGTATTACTTTATAAGTGACTCAAGACAGCAAATATATATTACATTTCTTATTTTCCCCATGACAACAAGTGGGTTGGGCTCAAAGTTACCCAGATGGTTTCCATGCCTAAAGTAGAACTAGAATTCACAGTCTCCTGGTTTAACTACACCAAACTCTTGTTATCTCTTATGGATTTCTGTTCTATATGGTGGTATGAATCTATCCTTCATTAGTTCCTGTTTCCTCACAAAAAGATGGTGGGATGGTGTTTTCATTTTTTTTACCTTTTAATGATAAAACTCCATTACAAGGCCAATTAAAAAAGAAAAAGTAAATTAGTAAGTAAAGCTTTTTCTTCTCTCCCACAAATAGAGAATAAGGTCATAGTAATTAATCAATAATTCATCATGAAGTTACCCTGACCTGAATACATTTAGAATCAGACACTATCCATTTCAATTAAAATCTTTTAATTAAAATTGCATACTTTATTTGTTTTTTTTTCAGCAAATATTTTGGATAGATTATGACTATAGAAAATTCTACTGGTGGCTATTGCAATACTACTTTACTTAGTTTTCTGAAAAGCAATGTTTGCCATGCTCACAATCTTTTTAATATGACTAATATCCTAAATTATTATCCTTTCCCCACTTTTGTAATAGGGCTCCATGAACAAAATTGCATGGCGTATGTGTTAATCATTCTGATTTCTTCAGACTAATAATAACTCTGATTTGTTTAGACAACCCAATGGCTGGAGATTTTGCAGAGACTCTGCCTTCACGAAAAGCAGGAGGTCCAGCACCGTGGGGTGGTGATTGTTTACAATTTAATCCACGCAGACCAAGAATTGGCAAAGAAATTGGTGGAGTGCGAGATGTTGGAAATCCTGACCATCATTGGTAAAGAAGCAGATGATCCTAAAAGACAACACATTATTAATGTGGCTCGAGAATGCCTTGTGAAGTTAATGGACTATGGGTTGATCAAACCCCTGGCTCAGCCATGAAGAAGCAAGGAAAAATAAAATGACACAAATCAGAGATAAAGGAGAAATTGGAATGAATGTGTATGGGAAAATGATCAGAAAATTAAAGCATTGTCTTCAAAGTTGCCACTTATTCTTCTTTTGCCTTCAGAAATAATCATCAAAATAATTTCTAATTAATTGCTTGGGGGGTCCCAAAATTTTGTCCTGGCTAAGAAAATTATTCTTTGAAGTGCCTGCCTAACCAATTCTTTGACAACAGGAAACCCCTAAAATCAGAGTACCTGGTATGTCAGTCAGATATGCAATGTGCTTGGTAACATCCCAGTTGGTGGATACCACTCTTCCTGGTCTGACTGAATCTACAGTGAAAAAGTAAATGTCTATCTCAAGTAACTGTCTTTATTTCTAACAATGTCTTGAACCTCTCACAGGTTCTCAGGGCCTTCTTAAAAAATACAAATGATAGGGAGTAGCAGCCCCCAGTGTTTTGTTTAAGGAAAAACAGAAACGAGAAAAACTGAGAAGAAATTCCTGGAGATTGGGATTGGGGAAAGAGTGCTCAAGCAGAAAGGTTCAAAAGGCTAGTAGAATGAAAAGCCTTTTCCAAGACACAGGAATCTCTCTCTCTCTCTCTCTCTCTCTCTCTGGATCAGGATTGTATTAATGTAGTCATTTATATTTCATGTCCGCTTAAAACCTCACCTGTTCCTTTTACAACCAGTTTCCCAATAAGGCTCTCTCTATTTTAATTAAGTTTACCTTTTGTCCCTTTGATGACTTTTGCTCTCTCAATCCAATCTTTTTTTTTTTTTTTGCTAAGCCTAACCCTCTTCTGTGCTTCTCTTTTATGTTTTCTTCAATAAAATAAACACTATTTTTAAACAGACATTTTTGATGCCAGTTGCATCCGAGGTTTGTAGTTGGGTAATATGGACCAGATAACCTACATTTTTACAAATTGGCTTCCAGTTACAAGTCCTCAATTTACAACCACAATTGAGCCCAAGATTTCTTTTGCTAAGCAAGAGTTATTAAATGAGGTTTGCCCCATTTGACATCCTTTCTTACCACAGTTGTTAAGTGAATTTCTGCAGTTGTTAAGCTAGTAACAAAGTTGTTAAATGAATCTGGCTTTCCCATTGACTTTGCTTGACAGAAGGTTGCAAAAGGGAATCACATGACCCTAGGAGACTAACCGTCATAAATCTGAGTCAGTAGCTAAACGGCTGAATTTTGATCATGTGACCATGGGGAAGCTGCAATGGTTGTAAGTGTGAAAAACAGTCATAAGTCACTTTGTTCAGTGCTGTTGTGATTTTGAACAGTCACTAAACAAACTGTTGTAAGTCGAGGACTACCTGTACTGGGTTTTTCTTTCCCAATTATTTATTTATTTAAGAAAGTTTATGTAGTCACCCAACTCAGTGACTTCGGGTGGCTTACAAAGATAAAAATCCAATATAAAAACAATAAAAAAGCAATAACCTTCCCATCCCATCTGGCAATAACATTCAATTAAACATAAAGGAGAAGGCATTTTCCTGTTTGTCCTTTCCCCTAAATTTCTGGCTAAGGAGAAAAAATTGTGATGATATCAGACCTCTGCTGCATTGATCATGGAATCCACTGGTAAGACACCAAGGGAAATCCTCTCCCTATATTTTTAGAGGTTGTGTTCTTTACTGTTTTAGCCCCAGCCTAGTCATTCTTCGTTTATCAAGCAAATCAACATGTCCTTCCAACCCATAAAACACCTGCAGTATCTTAAAGACTGATAGATTTATCATGAAAAAAGTTTGGTAAACCAGTCCACTTTATTAAATGTGACTTAAATCTTTCCTCAGCTGCATAGGTCTGCAAAATGCTTTATTTTCTCCATTTTGGATTTTTTGAATGTTCGCCTGCCTGGGGAATTCTGGGAGTTGAAGTCCACAAGTCATAAAAGAGCTAAGTTTGAAGACCTCTGCCTTAGAACATCTTTGCTACCTGACTTTTTAAAAAATATTTTAAATACTTTATTAAATTTAAAACACCAATTTATTGATTTTAAAGCCTTAGTAGCATGTGGCTTTATAGATAAACTAAATAATATTGCAATAGATATGTTAAAAGCTATAGAAACCTAGGTTCGTTTTGTCAAATAGTCTAACAATCTCACATTCCTAGTTTGACTGGCAGATAAATATGCAGACAGATTCCAATTTTATTAAACAATCACTCCGTTACATGAACGTTGCACAAATATATCAAACAGAATGCTTTCGAAGACATTTTGGTAATTACAGAATTTATTAGCGGGCGGGGGAGGTGAAACAAGCAGACACAGAATACACGCCCACCAAACTGAACCCTTGATCCGGGGTATAAAAACTCTCGTGAGAAAATGTGATATTTCCCTCGCCGCAATGATTGTTAGGAGTTGAAGTTAAAAAGGATTAGAGCCTGTGAGTGACCGGAAACAGGAAGTATGATCCGGAGTGCTGTAGGTGGGACTAGAAGCTTCGTGCAGAAATCGTTCCCTTCCTTGATGCGCGACTTTAAAATGTCGGAGCAACGCGGGACTTGCTGAATACGTGGTAGGCATATGAATCTGGCTTATATTTAAACTTTATAGTTTCTTATGCGGTAAACTGAACTTAGTCATTTAGAGTATTTTCAAGTGAGTGTTCTTCAACCTTGGCAATTTTTAAGATTTGTGGACTTCGACTCCCAGAATTCCCCAGCCAGAAATCTGGGAATTGAAGTCCACGCATCTTAAATGTCAAGAATGAGAAATGCTGGTTTAGCGGATTGTAGGAACACAAAATAAGAGACACGTGACAAGCACAGCGGAAGGCGGGTCCCAGAGGTTGCGTGGACCAGTGGTTGTTTACCATTAAGGAACAAAGAAAGCTGGATGAAAGTGGGTGCTTAGGAGATTAGTGATGCCCTGACTTTTTATGCCCACAATTTAAAATTAATAGCATTGATATTCATTTTCCTAGAAATATCATTTTGCGATATTGAATTGCAAAAATAATTGCCAGCAGTGAATGGCTATATTGAAGGATGTGGCCTGACAAAGAGGTCCCTGCAAGGTGTGCTAAATGCAATGATGAGTGAAGTATAGTCTGAACTGGTATTGTCAGAACTTTGGTTTTGATGCTGACCAGGGCGTGATCACCTAATCTTCTCTCTGAGCAGGTTTTGGCAGTCTGGTTCCCCTGGGAATTCTCTGTTTGCATTTGTCTCTGGATCTGCGGCCTATTGCTGGACATGTTTGGGACAGAAATAGATTTCATGGGATGGAGGCGTTGAATCTATTGCATTTAAAGTGATTTAAGTAGACCGTTGCATGTGTGAAGATTCTTTTTTTTTTTCAGTGATTGGTGGATGAAAACTGAGTTATTTTTCCCACTTTCTCTGAGAAGCAGAAATAGAAAAATTGCTACGATTTTTAGAATGGAAGCACCACTTCCTTCCTGTTACAGGGTTGACAAGTGACGTGTTAAAGAAAAATCCTAGAGGAAGAATCAGATGGAATTAAAAATGTAAAGGAAGCTAGCTCTTTCTCACAGCAAAGCCATTTTCCTACCAGAGAAAGATGTTTATTTCTTCTCATTGTAGAAAAGGAGCATTAGGATAAATGCAAAGTTTGGACATTTTTTTCCTCTGGAATAGCAGGGAATAGCAAATAAACAGTTAAATCTTGAAAACCTAAGACACAGTTAATTAAAACTTTGTAGCATAGGGCCTGGTTATTTGCAGCACAAGCTGTTTCTGATTATTTCTGTCCTCCAATAAGATCTGATAGGGTGGACATTCTCTTATTCCCATCACTCAAGCAGATGATAGGACCCAGAAGATGAGCTTCTCTGTCACCAGACCTGCCCTGTGGAGCAGAAAGATTTGGATCACCCTATTTATTTGGATCGCCCTATTTAGAAGTCTCTTAAGACCTGTTTTTTCCCCTGGTACTGGGTGAACTAATTTGTATCCAACTTGATTATTCTTGGATTGCTTTTGGTAGTGTAAAGTTGCCTTGGGGGCAACATTTTATTATTTTTAATAATTTTTTTGTGTGTACATCACCCCAAGTCACATGTCAGTTGAGTGGTTATATGAATCGATTTAATAAATACGTCTTTTTCTACGTAAAAGAAATAGAAAATAATGCTACTTTAAAACTGTATATGTGGATACAGTTTTGTTCCAATGTAAGTACAATTATGCTTGAGGATGTTGGAAGGGAAGACCATGCAGGTCCATTCCAAGTCTGATTCTGTGATGTGATTATTTGGGCAGTTTCCATTATGTTACAAACTTTTGCTGATGCTAGTTTGAAAAATCTTCAGCATATTAGGAGGTGGTTGACTCCCCTTCACTAGATGTAGTAGAGGAGAGGTGATGCTTTGATTTGGATTCTTGCACAGGTGATTGGACTGAAAGCCCAAATGGTCAAGTCCAAGATTTATTCTCTAAAGATGGTAACAACTGGATTTTGTTTTCTACAGGTGATGGCTTACTGTTGACATGACCAGAGGCGGTAACAAGAATTTTCTGCTTGTACAAGGTAATTCTGAAGAGAATTCCTCTTAGCAACACTCTATTCTATTTAAAAAGGACTCAAGTAGCAGAGGACACAGAGTTGCAAGATTTGCATACAAAGAACAACAGTTATATAAACACTGTAAGTCAGACATGTCAAACTCAAGGCCCAGATCCAGCCCGTGATCTAGCCTACAAGCAAACTAGTAGGAGTGATTGAATAGTTACCTCCTCACTTCTTCAGGTGTCTTGTCAGTGGCAGCAGCACTAACAGAGGACAGGCAGTGGAAACCTCCAACACGTGGAGCTGTGCAGCAGCAGTAATCACAGGTGGGCCTGGCTAAAGCGCCCTCTGTTTGAAAGCGAGTGGCTGGCGAGGGAAGGAAAGAAAAGGGACGGAAGGCGCTTGGATCGTGTGTTTCTTCAGTTCTTACCCCTCCCTGCCTCACCGCCTCCTCTTCTTCCTTCAAATTGCTGCTGCCCCTCTGGGCGAGAGATCTGCGGCTTGGTCTCTCTACTGCTCAGACTTTCTGGTCTCAGGTTATTGGGACCTTAAGAGTGCCGTGAAGAGTGCTACCCTCTTATACCCGAGAAGATCCGGACTCACAGCATCCTATTGAGGCTCCAGAGTGGATACCTAGAGCGCTCACAACTGCTCGCCTCACGCAGCACCTGGGACTTTGAGCTTTCTGTGCAGTCTCATACTCCATATATACAACATCTGCAGTGAAGAAGACCTGCGTGCCTATACTGATATTTAAACCCCCCAAAATGGCCAAACGGAAAGTGGACTTTGAAAACAGGTGCTTTCAAAAGAGGTGGGAAGCAGAGTACCTGTTTGTCAACGTTGAAAATAAGGCCATGTGCCTTGTTTGCGGAGGTAATGTGGCTGTACTTAAAGAATATAACATGAGACGCCACTATGAGACGAAACATCGGGACAGTTATAAAAACCTGAACATACAGCAAAAGCTAAAGGTGGTGGAAGAGTTTAAAGTGAGACTGATGTCACAGCAGCATATGTTCAGAAAAGCACAAAATGAAGCTGCTGTGAAAGCTAGTTTTATAGTGGCAGAAGAGATAGCTAAATCAGCCCGGCCATTTACAGAGGGGGAGTTTTTGAAGCACTGCATGATTAAAGTGTGCGAAGTCTTGTGTCCAGACCAAAAGCAAGCATTTTTGAATGTAAGCCTAAGCAGAAATACTGTTGCTGATCGGATATGTGAGCTTGCCACTGATTTACAAGTACAGTTGATTGAAAAGGGAAAAGGTTTCATTGCGTATTCCCTTGCTGTGGTTGAGAACACTGACATCACTGGCACGGCACAGCTGGCAATCTTCATCCGTGGAGTGGACTCAAGGTTATGCGTTACAGAAGAACTTTTGGATATTAAATCAATGCATGGCACTAGCACAGGAAAAGACATATTTGAAGCAGTATCTAAATGTGTAAATGACATGAAACTGCCCTGGGACAAACTTATAGGACTGGCAACAGATGGAGCACCTTCAATGTGTGGGGAAAAGAGTGGATTAGTGGGAAGGATGCGAGAGAAGATGAAGAGCGAGAATTGCACAGGTGAGCTGACAGCTTATCACTGCATCATACACCTGGAAACACTATGCAGCAAAACCCTGAAGATGGAACATGTAATGAGCACTGTAACACAGACAGTTAACTTTATAAGATCCAAAGGCTTAAATCACTATCAATTCAAATCTTTTTTGGAAGAAATACATTCTGAACTCGGTGATCTTCCGTATCACACAGAGATGCAGTGGCTAAATCAAGAAAAAATGCTCAATAGATTTTTTGAGTTGCGTAAGGAAATCTGTCAGTTCATGGAAAGTAAAGGAAAAGGCTGCACAGCACTGTGGGATGAAAAGTGGCTATGCGAGTTAGCTTTTCTGTGCGACATAACTAAGCATCTCACTGCACTAAACCTTCAGCTTCAGGGACGGGACCGTGTGATCATGGACATGTATGGTGCAGTGAAAGCCTTTCAATTTAAGCTGCGACTGTGGGAGACTCAAATGCAGCATGGAAACCTGAGTCACTTTCCCTGTTGCCAAACAATCACAAACCAGGTCTCCAGCGCTGTGTTCTTAGATGCTCATTTTGCTAATAAGCTGAATGCACTTCAAATGGAGTTTGCACGTCGCTTTGTTGACTTTGAAGAACAGAAATTCAATTTTGGATTGCTCAGTAATCCATTTGCAGTTGAAGTGGCAAAAGCACCCATAAATATCCAGATGGAGCTGATAGAACTCCAGTGTAGCAGCACATTTAAGGCAAAGTATGATTCTGTAGGGCCCGCACAGTTCACCACGTTCATTCCTGAAACGATGCCCCAACTTCATCTACAAGCTGCTCGAATGCTCTGCATGTTTGGGAGTACATACCTGTGTGAGCAACTTTTCTCTGTGATGAAGGTGAACAAAAGCGTACACAGAAGTCTTCTCACTGATGCACAGCTCCACTCTATCCTGAGAGTTTCCACAGCTCAGAATTTAACCTCAAATCTGAATGAACTTGCAGGCAAGACAAGATGCCAAACATCTGGCTCAAATGACCCAGGATTTAACAATTCACACATCCCTTTGAGTTCCTAAAGTGGTATGTTGGATTTGGATTTGTAATCTTGTTTATGTTTATTTACCAAACTTATTTTTCATTTAATCAAAGAGAAGCTTATCTTCTTGTTCCAGAAGAATTAGAAGAACCCAAACCCTGGGATGATCTAGGCTTGTTCTTCCCGTAGAGTTTGTTAAAGTAAAAACTGGTTGAAGCAACATAAAAGCATTTGTAATAAAATGTCAATATTTATCATGATGTCTAAATACAATCTCTGTTAAGCAGTTTCTTGTACGTCTATTTTGAGGAATGTATCATTTGACTTACATGGCTTGCAGCTGTGATTCTAGGTGGCTAAAACAACACACAAAACAATTATCAAGAAAATATGGAGAACCTACAATGGTTGCTAAAAACCCAATAAACTCTGAACAATACAATCTCATCTCATTTCATAGGCTACCCTTTCCAACCCCAATATTCTGGAGAACATCTAGGTCTCAGTGCTTTGCAAAAGACCAGCAGCATCAGGACTAATATAATATATTGAGGAATATGGTTTTCCAGAGGGCAGGTGCTATGACAGAAAAGGCACTCTTCCTAGGTCGCAGCGGACGTAGGCCCACTTCTTCAACTGAGAGGACCCCAAGTGTTCTCCTCTAGTTGGACCTGGTGGGATGGACGGAAACAAGGAAGACGAGGTTTTGTAAATAACCCAGCCCCTTGCTGTGAACACTTTATAGATGACAACTGCTACCTTGCTGCTGCCAAAAAATGTTTAAAGATTAGCTGCTCAGGTTGCCCTCAGAAGCTTTTCTGTCTTTTTATGATCACTTACAGCAGTGTGCAGCTGAAAGTTATCAACATACAATGTATTATGGAGGCCACAATGGTTCATGTGATTAGAATGCTGAGTCAGAAGACCGTTGAGAGGTCGATGGCTCAGCAGTTCAACACCCAGGAGCCAGCTGCCTGAAGGAATGAGCTCCTGTCAATTTGTCCCAGCTCCTGCCCACCTAGCAGTTCAAAAGCAGACAAATACAGGTAGATAAATAGGTAGCACTTTGGTGGGAAAATACCGGGGACATGAAAGGAGCCTCCTTGGCCACCCTCATGGGCAATGGTGATGTCACTGGCTAATCCTTTCAACCTAGAAGTGCCTTGATGGTTCTTCCAATTCAAATGTAGTAATAATTTATGATGTAATAAAAGTCATTATTAAATGCATGACTTTATGCTTACATGTAAAGTAAAGCTATTTTTTTTTTCTAAACCGTTTGCAACTTGGTCTGTAGCTCTGAGCTGGCCAGCCAATGACCAAATGTTTCTATGAAAAGTTATTTACCCCTAGAAATGTGCCTCAAGTCATATGGATAAGAAGCAGGTTGGGCCTTTTTCTATCTAGTAATCTTTCTCAGCTAATCTGTTTTCACGTAATAGATATTAGGGGGGAAATCAATTAGGTGAGACAGCTCAAAGACAACAGTTGACAGTATAACCTGTAACCACACTCTTAAAAGCTAACCCCTTTATTACCAAAAAACTATGCTTAGTATAATCAGAAAAAAACACCCGATTATGCAATGTAGCATTCCAGTTTTTATATAAAGATCAAAGGATGGACCTCTCAGTTTTCAGGTGTGTATAGTTTGACAAGGTGCTGAAGTTCAGTGGCATAGCCAGTGATGGGGCACCGCTGGTGATGCTTCACATAAGAGTAGACACAGCGATAGCAGAAAACAAAGCCAGAAGTGCAGAGGGCTGTATCGTTGACACGAATTTTACGACACAATGGACACACTGTCTTGAGCTTTGGCAAAAGAGGTGAATCAGTCTCATAGTCCAGGTGCACAGGTGGTGGTGGGACTGGCATAGCAGTCAGTGATTTGATGTTCTCCTGATTCTCAGCTGAATACCACCACTCCAAAAACTGGAGGAAGAAGATGCCCACAGAGAGGCCAGTGGACAGGGAGAAAGCCAGGGCCCCTAGGATTTTTTTCCCAGCGGACTTCATTTGCTCTTTCATGCTGCAGAAAGGGGCAAGATATATAAAAAAGAAATTAACTGAATTCATGCTATTATTAAGAAACGTGGAAAACATTAAGATGCAAATCCAGGGTTACAGTAAAAAGGCAATCTGAATTCTCCTCTAAGAGAAAAAAACCATAAATCCCTGAGATACAACTATGATTAGCTAGTCATCCAAATACCTGGTTTCCAGCATTTAACAACTAGAGATATAACACCCCCCAAATATTTGTAAGATTAATTTGAGGGGAAAAAACAAAGTATAAAAAAGTTGTAAGCAGAAAATTGGCACTCCCACTCAATAGATGGCTCTCAAATTACTGTTAGAGAAACTGATCCTCAAAAATAGGGAAAATCTTAGCCATAACTTTACTCTCCAGGTGTACTTGCTAAATGAGTTATATGTAATCCTTGATTTATAGCAGTGGTTCTCAACCTTTTTAATGCCGCAACCCCCAACCGGTCGTAAGTTGAGGACTACTCAACCGGTCGTAAGTCGAGGACTACTCAACTGGTACAGCACCGTTTGCAGAATGGGACTTTTGGCGGGCTCAGCAGGGCAGAGACAGCCTGGACAATTCTCTATTCAAGAGAGTCTATTCTATTGGCTTTCAAAAGCCAATAGAATAAAAGGGAATAGCACAGCTAAGGAAAAGGGGGAAAAAATGGCGGACTGCATTGTTTGGTGACCCCCGTGAAATGGTCGTTTGACCCCAAATGGGGTCCCGAACCACTGATTTATAGCATTCATTTAGCGACTGTTCAAAGTTACAACAGCACTGAAAAATATGAATGACCAGTCCTTATGCTTATGACTAATACAGCATCCAGAGTCACATGATCAAAATTTGGGCATTTGGCAACCGGCAGGTATTTACAATGGTTGCCATTTCCAAGGGTCATGTGATCGCCATTTGCGATCTTCCCAGCTAGCTTCCAGGAAGCAAGTTAATGGGTAAAACTGGATTTGCTTAACAACCACATGATTCACTCAACAACTGCAGTGATTTGCTTAACAACCATGGCAAAAAAGATAATATCAGGTGTGACTCACTTAAAATCACCTTGCTTAGCAATGGAAATTTTGGTCCCAATCATGGTTGTAAATCAAAGACTGCCTGCATAAAAGATTTTAGAGTCTTGACCTATTTCAATCTTTCGGTGCTCGTTGGAAGATGCTTTTCTTTCTTAATTTTTCCCAGGTGTAGTAATCATAAGATCTTTTTCTTAAATTTTCATCTTTATGGTCTACGCTTTTTTTTATCATTAACTGCCTGGCGAGTATTAGTTTTTAGATGATATACAAACATTGTGAATATATAAATATACCCAATCATTGAAGGAAGGAAGCAAAAACAGCAAGGGGTGGCTGTTTTAGGGTTTTCATTTCTATTCACCTGTTTGATGACTGTAGAACATCACCAGCAGCTATATGTACATTTTCCAAAGCCCGCAAATCGTCTGCTGTCAGCCTGACTAAATACACACCAGCCAGTTTCAGCAGCGGGGAGTGGTGTTGAGCCTTTCCCAGAATGTAACATAGTTGCTGCACCAGAAACCAGCCCTCCCAAGCCATGTTCACAAAGGGGTAGGCAGCCAGGAAGGCCTTATAAAATCGTTTCCAGCAGGATGACGGAGGATGGATAGAATAATCGTCTTCTTCCTGGAGACGGGAGATCAACTTTTCCAGTTTAGTTCTCAGGTATGGAACGAGGACCAACAAACAGAGAGATTTCCAGTGATGCTTTTGGGATAGTCCAGCAGTGGCCAAAGATCTCTGTTGATTCCTTTTGCTTTTCAGTGCAACTCTCTTCAAGCCATAGAAATTTTCAGAAAAAGAAGCACTGCATCGGAAGAGGTAATGCTGCTGGAGTAGAAGATCCAGGATGGTGTAGATTTCGTCAAACCAGCGCCATAGGAAACCATAATATGAAGGATTGGATTCAGCCAATACCTAGAACAAAAGACAATCAAGGGCAAGAGTAATAAACCTGAATGTGCCAAGACATTTTTATTGATGTTTGAAACATTTTGTTTGGGCTACTTTGTGGATTTTTTACTTTGAGATTGTTGCAAGATAACACAGCCTTTTTCAAGATGAGGGCTATGTGGCCTTAGAAGTTGTGTTCCATTACTGAATCAGGACCAGGATCTAAAAACACGATATAGCTAGCACACACACAAACACAAATTTAAAATACAGTAATAACATAATACTATTACAATATTCCATAATTTACTCTTCTCTCAAATTCAGAATTTCATAATCTTTGGAAAGTTTTATGGCCATATTTATAAATTGGAATCCACATTGATAATGTGTAAACTGAATTTGCTTTGTTAATTATTTTCAGCAGAAAAATGAAAAAAAATTCTAAGCCACAAATTTTAATTTACAGATTATATAATCTAGACTTCCATTTTAAGCTTAGTGGAAACTCACTGATCCAATTATCCTGGTTTGACTGCAAGGTCTAAGACAGGATTTTCTTTCTGTATCTGATACCTAAAATAAATCTTCTAACTGTAAAAAAGATGGGACATCACATATGCATGCAATTTTTTTCCGGTCCTTCCATGCTTTCATATTTCCTTCATTATTCTGACTATTATTCAACCTTAGATAAGCACAGAAAATTAATGGTTATCCTTCCCTCAATACTCACCAACCATTCTTCTCACCTTGATCACATGCTGAAATGCTGGTCTCACAGCAGTCATCAAACTGTCTTGGGCAACAACTTCAAATATAGAAGGCCTGTCCACATATGGGTAGATGGCAGTGAAATGAGCTCCATGTTCTGCCATGGTCTCTTCTGGAATAAAAACAAACAAACTTTCCAAAATAATTCAAAACAGAATTAGGTTTTAGAAGACATTATTACAAAAGCCCTCAAGCTTTCTGTCTAGAATGATATATGGATATATTTAAATTATTGATCTTTTCATTTCTAATTTGATTGAAAAATGGCAAGTTATTTAATACAGTAAGCTATTTCCCTCAAGGACGATGAAGATGTATATAAGATCGGCATGGCTCTTCATAGTTGCTGGATGCACCAAGCCACATATCATATAGTTTAGCCTAATATGCTATGTGAACACAAAACCCATGATTAGCACATAGTCCACCTTGCCATGCAAACGAGGTGACATCGAGTCAACCAAGTTTAACCATGAGTAAGTACTTTGCACAAATGTACCTTATATCTATCATTTTCTTCAGATTTTTTTTCTCTGTCTTTTTAATATATAATTTAAGGTGGCAAACATATTTAATACTTCTGCCTCCTATTTTCCCCACAACAGTTGTGTGAAGTAGGTTGGGCTAAGGCAGAATGAATGGCCCAAAGTTGCCCAGCTATCTTTTATGCCTTAGGGAGGCCTAGAGCTCCCAGTCTCCTGGTTTCTAGCTTCTTTGAAACTTAACCATTCCATCAAATGGAATTTTACTCCAAATCTTGCCTGCTGCTTCATACGTTTTCCTCACCAACAGCCTTGCTCCATCCTGTCAGTCCTCCACCCAAGCCTTTCTCTCCAGGAAAAGAGCCTGGAAGAAATCTGAGGGAATTCAAGGCCGCTGCATCTCTCTGAAAGGTGTCGCAGGTATGGTCAGAAAGAAAGCTGGATTCAAATCCTTGCTGAAATACAGATAGTCCTCCACTTATGGCCAAAACAGCCCCAAATTTAGGTTAAGTGAGAAATTTGTTAAATGAGTTTTAACATTTGCTCATTTCACACCTTTTACTGCCACATTTGTTAACTGAATCACTGCAGTTGTTACATTAGTAACACGGTGGTTAAGTGAATCCGGTTTCCCCATTGACTTTGCTTGTCAGAAGGTCACAAAAGGTGATCACATGACCCCGGGACACTGCAATTGTCATAAATGTGAGTCAGTTGTCAAGCATCCAATGTAAATCACGTGACCAAGGGGATGCTCCAGGGGTGATAAGTGTGAAAAATGGTCATAAATCACTTCTTTTCAGTGCTGTTGCAACTCTGAAGAGTCACTAAACGAGCTGTTGTAAATGGAGGACTACCGGTAAACAAATTAACTTGGTGAACTAGGCGAGCGTGATGCAAAACCCGAGGACGCTGCAATCAAACGGCACCAACTCTTAAGACCAAATGAATCCACAAAGGAAGCCGCCTGATGCCATGAATGACTCTGGCCATTAAACTGCTTTGTGATCAATGGTAAGGGCTAGACCCCACATTCTGGCAGGAAAAAGCGGGCGGAAAAATTACAAGGATGATCTTACACTTCTGCGCCCTATGTGCTGGAGAGGGGCAGGTCAGGATTTCCCCCACCTCAACCGCCCTCCGTGTACGGCCGCCTCCCCGGTGGTTGCTGCTACCGCTCGCCGTTCAGTGCTGCAAAAATTCAGGCCGCGCTAGGCTTTCCTTTAGTTTGTTTCTACCGTACCATAGAGTTACAAGAGGGCAAACAGGCGTAGTTCTGTTGGGAGGACTCTTCCGTGGGAGAACAGTCGCTCTTGATGTTGAAAAAAATGCCCCATAAGTTTATATGAGGAAACCCTCTCTACGCTCAAACCTCGGTCTGGAAAGCTAAAAATGAAAAGCAGTTTACAAGCAGTCGCATCTAACCTTATGGAGCGACGTTCCTCTGTTACAGGAATAGGAGTGTTTTTACCGGAAGAAAATGGATATGTCCATCTAGGCCACTGAAATTCTGTGGCTGCAGACGATCTAAGCAGGAAGGCGTGGCGCATATCGTTGGTTGGTCTTCCCAGACAGCCCGGTTTCCGGTCTCCTCCCAAGCGAGGCAGTTTTACGGTTGCTTCTGGCCGTTACTGCTCCATCCTCCTCCTCCTCCTCCTTCGTTGTCGTCCTTTCTTCAGTATCAGGTCTTTTCGAAGACTCCCCTCTTCGTGGTAGGTTAGTTGGGGATAGGCTGTGGTTCCGCCCATTGAGGAATTGGCGGGGGGGGGAGGATGAATTGCTCCTCCCTTGGGTAGGGAGGAGGCTTGGTATGAGGGCGGGGGTCGGTTTTTTTCCCTGGCATTCCGGTGGGGGTACCTTACTGGGTAGTTGGGTGGGGGAAAGGTGAATAGCATAATTTTTCCCCAGTCAGAATGGCTCCCTTCCCGGGTGGAGCTTACAGGTTCCTGTTCTCAGGAAGAAAAGTGTGACATCGTTGCTTGGGGAGAGAAGTAGAAAGGTGATGGGGGGGGGGAATAATTATCTATCTTGGGGAGATAGTCACAGTTGCCCCTCGCCTAATCTGCAGGCCTTAATAGCTCCTATTTTATAAGCACAAATCTAAAGACCACGAGGTGGGCGAGTCCCTTGCCATCGAGGAATTTACAGTTTGCAATGGAAGCGTTGGGGAAAATGAGAAAAGTGAGCAAAAATACTGGAGGAGAAAGTTTTGGACTGGTTAGATGACAAGTATGGGGAGGGAGGGAGAGAGAGGCTGGAGTTCTTTCTATAAATATCTTTTAAGAATTTGGGGTCAGGTGGAGGAGTAGGAGGGAATTTTAGGAACAGGAAGGGGTTGTGAGGCGAGAGTGTGCAAAAAATCACAACTTTTACAAGATATTTCTCTGGTTGGGGAGGGAGGAGAACGTCTCTGTGTTAGAAAACATAGATGGGAGTAGCTGGAAAAAGTAATTTGCTGTCCTTGGGATGGAGATCTTGAGGTTCTGTGTGAAAAAACTTAAGAGTTGTCTTCACAGTGAGCCAGTTTAATAAGGTGGATATAGTCAGTCACCATTTATAAAGTAAACCAGTTATAGAACAAAATGAACATTTTGTATTTATTAGAGTTACAGCTTACCATTCATACAGGAGTTTGAGGCAGGTATATAGTGTCCCCTCCCCCTATTTTTCCCTAGAATAAGAGACCTGTGAGGCAGGTTGGACGGAGAGAGTGTAACTATCCCCAAGGTGTTGAGAATGTTTTACATTAGCTGTCTATGTAAAGTGATGTCTTATTAAAGAATTTGACAGAGCAGAGCTGGCAGGCGTTATTGTTGCAGATGAAAAGTATCAAGCCAGGATCTCAAGTAGATATCCGGTGGAATTTCCTAGTAGTTCATGGTTGGGAGTCAAGTAAAATGAGTAAGATTTCGTGTTGTAACTATAGGTCATAACATTATAACATGGCATAAAATACAATATAACAAAATAAAGAATGTTAGATACAAAGAGGCCAAAACAAGATACAACCAGGGTTGTGATTAAGAACTTGCGTTTAAATGACAACAGAGCAAAAGTAGCAATCTGGCTACTAAAGTTAAACATATTTGCAATTTAGCCATTTCAGCCCAGGCTCTTCAATTCGTTTACCATTAATAATGTTGTCAAAATCTCATTGTAAATAGGGCAATGGAAGACAAAATGAAATAATATCCTTCACTTAGGCACCAAGGGGACAGAGTCACTGTTCAACAAAGTGTTTACAAAATCTCTCCTCAAGATATCTGAAGGCATAGTCTGGTACTAGGTACCAGGTACTAGGAGAGGCTTCTGTGTTTTTATAGTGATTAAAATCTGTGCTGTAGTAGCATGTTTATTTATTGTATTTTTATCCTGCTTTTATTGCTTTATAAGTAACTGAACGTGGCAGAACTAAAGGTCACTTTATAAGTAAATAAAGGTGGCATACGTATATGTCTAATACTCCTTCCCCCTCCTCTTTTCCCCACAAAACAACCCTGTGAGGTGAGTTGGGCTGAGAGAGAGTGACTGGCCCAAAGTCACCCAACTGGCTTTCATGCATAAGGTGGGACTAGAACTCACACAGTCTCTGCTTTCTAGGCCAGCACCCTACACCAAACATTTAAAAAAAATCTAATATTTTCTGTTTCCTAAGAGTTGAATTAAGATCGGTGACAAAAGTGCAGTCCATTGATGAGAAAGCAAAGTTTGGCAAGGTAGATTCTTGAAGACTTTCTGGTTTCTTATAGTGCCCCAGCAATGCATGATGTATTCTGACAGCAAAGGAAAGTAACCCAACATCCATTTTAGATTAGCTATGGAGGTGACTTGGGGAGCCCCAAGATTTTCCTTATTAAGATGTTTTAGACTGCTTCCAGTCTAAAATAACCTCCTTATCCCATCTCCAGATTTCAGCCCCATGCAGCATCTGGGCTATCAGCATGCCCTGGAATATTTTAAATTCAAGATAGGAAATGTTTCTGATCTAAACAGGCGAAGAGGAGCCTTGTGTTAGTCTTGGTTCACACAACACACTAAACTGAAATCTGGTTAGCCACATTTTTCCTACTGTGTATGAACTAATCTATCTGGTTAGTTTGTTTCTTGTGGAATTCCAATCCTGAAAATTAAGGGCTTCCCCCCCCCAAAAAAATCATAGTTAGTTAACCATGAGTTACAGCACTCTGATCACAGTCAGATTGCTCAGAAGAGAAGAATGTACTAAAAGCTTGGTTCTTTGGAGAGAGAGTATTGAAGTACATGGCCTGACAAAGAGGTCCCTGCAAGATGTGCTAAATGCAATGATGAGTGAAGTATAGTCTGAACTGGTATTGTCAGAACTTTGGTTTTGATTCTGACCAGGGCGTGATCACCTAATCTTCTCTCTGAGCAGGTTTTGGCAGTCTGGTTCCCCTGGGAATTCTCTGTTTGCATTTATCTCTGGATCTGAGGCCTATTGTTGGACATGTTTGGGGCAGAAATAGATTTCATGGGATGGAGGAGTTGAATCTATTGCATTTAAAGTGATTTAAGTAGACCGTTGCATGTGTGAAGATTCTTTTTTTTCAGTGATTGGTGGATGAAAACTGAGTTATTCTTCCCACTTTCTCTGAGAAGCAGAAATAGAAAAATTGCTACAATTTTTAGAATGGAAGCACCACTTCCTTCCAGTTACAGGGTTGACAAGTGACTGTTAAAGAAAAATCCTAGAGGAAGAATCAGATGGAATTAAAAATGTAAAGGAAGCTAGCTCTTTCTCACAGCAAAGCCATTTTCCCACCAGAGAAAGATGTGTATTTCTTCTCATTGTAGAAATACACATGTAGGATAAATGCAAAATTTAGACATTTTTTCCTCTAGAAAAAATGATATGTCTTTTACAGGGAATAATAAACAGTTGAATCTTGAAAACCTAAGACACAGTTAATTAAAACTTTGTAGCATAGGACCTGGTTATTTGCAGCACAAGCTGTTGTTGATAACTTCTGTTCTCCAATAAGATCTGATAGGGTGGTCATTCTCTTAGTCTCATCACTCAAGCAGATAATAGGACCCAGACCTGCCCTATGGACCAGAGATATTTGGATCACCCTATTTAGAAGTCTCTTAGGACCTGTTTTTTCCCCTGGTACTGAGTGAACTAATTTGTATTCAGCTTGCTTATTCTTGGATTGTTTTTGGTAGTGTAAAGTTGCCCTGGGTGCAACGTTTTATTATTTTAATATTTTTGTGTGTGTACACCACCCCAAATCACATGTCAATTGAGTGTTTATATGAATTAATTTAATAAATATATCTTTTTCAAAGTAAAAGAAATGGAAAATAATGCTACTTTAAAACAAGATCTGTATAAAACTGGATATGTAGATAACAGATTGAGATTTTGTTCCAATGTAAATACAATTATGCTTGAGGGATGCTGGAAGGGAAGACAATACCATTTTGGCTGCCAGCACTAAGGTTAGCAATAGAGATAGTTTTTGATTCCTGTAAGCCAGTATCAAATTTAATTCCTATGAACTGAATAGGATAGTTTTTCCCTTCCTTTAATCTGATAGAGTTTAATATGTTCTCCCCTCCGCCACTCAGGCACAAATATGTTTCTGCCCTGTCATTAAGTAGGGGTTAATTCTCTGCCACAAATATGTTTCTGCCCTGTCATTAAGTAGGGGTTAATTCTCAGCCCATGAGGGTGGGCTGCTCTACCAGTTTCCTGTGCAAAGAAAGACACATTGCTTTGAAATGCTGGCTCTTGCTGGCACCCATGAAGTACTCTTAAAGCTGTTAGGGAGAGATGATTCTCAGATTGGAAACAATATAGTTTGTGTCTTCTTTCCTCTGAAGTTGTGTAGTGGCGGGGGGGGGAGGCAGGGGCTGCTGTGATGAAACAGCTTTCAGTCACGAGTGCTGCTTAGCTGAAAGAAGCATCTTCTGTGTATTCATTTATTCCTTCCTGGCTTTTTGAATTAGATCGAGGATGGGTGGTCTTTAGCTTTAGAGAAAAACTCTTGTTATGATTGTCATTATTTATTGATTGGATTTCAAAGCTTTCTGACTCCAAAAAGATGCTTACCGTATTTCAAAGAATACATAATTTAAAAGAAATAGGATACCCAGATAAAATTACATAAACAAAATTCAGGGAAATAAATTGACAGGGCTTCCATGAACATTCTGACCTCAGGATGTTCCAGAGAGCAGGGATTGAACAGAGATGGCACGCTTCCTCGGTCCCGTTAGATGACAGTGTTTAATTGAAGGGACCAGGAGCACATCCACTTTGCTCAATCATACCAGATTGGCAGAAATAATTGGAGAAAGGCGGTCCCTTAAATAACCAGTCCCTATTCCATGAAGGGCTTTATTGGTGACCAGTGCAGCTCATAAAACAGCAATAACATATGGGCAAAAGGTACTATATCCTACATATGTATTCCCCATTCCCTTTGGAGGAGCTGTTCTGTTGGAACAGAGAAAATATCGATACTTTTTTGTTGCACCTTTTCATTCAAGACTGATGGGGGTCTTCCTACACTTGCAGAACAGGTAGTAGTTATAACCAAGAGGGCCTTTTCACAGAGTCACCTTGTGCCCCAGTTGCACCCTTTCCTTGACAACTTAAGAGGCCACCCATGCTTTAGTCACTTTACAATTGAATATTGGGCTATTGTTGAAGACCATCCAGGAGCTACAGCTGATTCAAAATGCAATGACGCCCCCAAGCAGTTCACTTGGTCCTGCCCAGAAAAAGTGCAAATCTAAGAAATTTTTATCTATCAGATAGCATGAATACCCTTCGCTATGGTCCTGGAGATGTTCCAAGCCTTTCTTGCTTAAGGTATTCTTTGTCTTCTTGCACTTCATCTCTCGGAGCGACTCAGAGAATTGAGGTGCGCTTCAGAATCAGTGCACAGAGAGGCTTCATAGGAATAATCCAGGCAAAAGCCTCAGTTAACTGCCAATTCCAGGTTGCAACCAAGGCCTCAGATGTGCTACCCAGCCAATTCACGGGGAAAACCCCAAGCTTCTTCCAGAAATCAGCTGGTTTCATCAGTTGCCTAGGGTTGGCTGATCAAACAGGCCAATCTGCCTGCAGGGATGAGTGGCACTAGCAAGCTAGAGGCCAACTAGAGTGTGATCTCACATGACAACTGACTGATGATAATAGCGTCCAACAACAGATCATATGACAACTGACCTGAGACAAAAACTGAATCTAGTATGTGACTCTTTGTATGTATTGGCACCTCAATTACTTGAGACAGGTTTGACTTTATCAACATCTGTACTTAAAGAAGTGAAATGTATTTTTATATATAATTCTGAGCATAAAAACTGCTTCATACCTTTAGAGAGTAATTTTTCTCTTTTTACATTGTTTTTTCTGGTACATACTGATATTAATAATTACCTAATATTATAGATAAAACGTAGCAGGACACTGAAGACCTTTTATTGCCATAAAAATGATCATCTCTCAATTTGCAACATTTGACCATCAGATTTTAGGAAGGGTCATTAGTTTAACTCAGTGTGAAGTTTTACAATAAAAACTATAAAGTTGATTATTAGTATTATTTGATCTGTTAATTTTCTTTGGAATGATTGTCATATAGAAGGTTATTTTAAAAAGTTGGGTTTTTAAATATATTGAATACTATTTACGATTTTGTGGTACATTGGAACTAATAGATTTACAGTTTCAAGCAGATAACAAAACTCTGTTTTGAAGCAGTCACAAATGCATTTGCTATGAAAAGAGGTGCAGATTTCTTAAACTGAGTGGTTTTTTTTTCCCTCCTAGGTGCAATAGGAATCCAAAATCATGACAGACTCCAAATACTTCACCACCAATAAAAAAGGTTAGAGTTCAACTGCAATGTGATGTTGCCTTTTAACTCTCTACAGTGGATACAATCTGCCTCCCACTACCTCTTGCTGGGTTACATGAGAGGGCAAGCTGATATGAGAATTAAGATAAAAGCATTCTTCATCCCTACTGTAGATCAAATGGATAAAGAGACTGGGTTGGTTCACACATGTTACTAAGCCATTTTTTAAATGGCTTTATTAATAAGATGAGATGGCATAGTTCAGTGGTTCTCAACCTATGGGTCGTGACCCCATTTGGGATCGATCGACCATTTCTCGGGGGTCGCCAAACAAGGCGATCCGCCATTTTTCCCCCTCGGGGGCGGTGCCGTGCATGCGCGCGGCGCATGGGGCACTGCCGCGCATGTGCATTGCGCCTGGGGGCGCTGCTGCGCATGCGTGCGGCGCCGCGCCGCGCATGGGGGTGGTGCCGCGCATGCGCGGCACGTTTGTGTGACGGGGGTCACCGTCACACAAACGTTGAGAAGCACTGGCATAGTTCATCTAACAGTCTAGCCAAGCCAATCAAATTAAGCTTAGCCGTGAGGATTTTTTTGAAAGAAGGGTAGTTAGTTTTTAATCAGTTGAAATACAATGAAAAGTTATTTCCACAATTTCAACTTTTTCCCACACTCATAGTTTTTAAGCTACTAACCTCAATGCAACCTCAAGAACAGTGGAAAGAAAATTAATCTGGCATAGGCTGTAACCAGAAGAAACAATACTACATGCATCTTAGATCTTCCAGCCAGACTCTTTGATGTGGCGGCAGTAACACAATCAAGCTATATTTTTATTGAACCAAATGTTTTGGAATAAGGATTGGTTGAGTTCATACAACATGTTGACATGTCATTTACAAATCATGGCAACTGGACTCTTAAAATATGCAAAGTCAACATCAAAGCCATTTACATATAAGATTATATGGCTGCCTATCTAAACACAGGATTGGGCAGCTCACAACAACAGTAAAATCCCACAGCCGTAAAACCATAGAACCAAAGCCCATCCATCAGTTGAAATGGAGATACAAAATAGGTTTAATCCTATTGTATATGGTTGGGCTGGGATTTTTCTTTTACCACTTTTTATTTTTGCAGGCTGGTTGTTGTTGGTTTTTTTTAAAAAAAAAGTCTGAATTTCAATTTTTCAACTTTAAAGTAATGGGAAAAGGCTCTGCTGAATTTTCTTGTTACAAAAAAAAGGGCAGATTTTTGATGCCTGCTACATATGGAGCTCTTCTGGCAATTAATATGGTAGCTGTGTATTATCTTTAAGGGACTTTTTGACTTACCACTTGATTGCTGAGGTTGGGATTACATCTTGCCCCTCAGCAAGTAGATCTGCTGAAGTTGTGAGATTGGATAAGACCATTTATACACCTGCTGTTCTGATCATCCTTGACTATCAAAGGTTTGCAGACTCTACCTATTCTTGCATTGCCACTTCTCTTTCTCCCCCCTCTTAAGCAATAGAGATTCCTGGCTTCCAGCTGAACTATTGATCTTCATAGCTGCCAACTCCTGGGAGCCATGCAATCATTAAATAAGCTGATGATTCTTCCCTTTCCCCCACCTTCTTCTGATCTCCTGATTTGCAGGGCCATTACTAATTCTGCCCTTTTGCTTAAAAGGGTGTCTAATTTCATAATTTATAAATGCTACAATAATTCAACAATGCCTGTTGTAATAAAGTATCCTCCAAAAATATGTGCAGAAATCATCCTTGCTTTCATCTTCAGTGACATTAAGATATGTGGATTTTAGCTCCCAGAATTCAGGAATTGAAATCCACACACCTTACATCCCTAAATTGAGAAACACTGCATGCTTCAGTCCAGTTTGTGTGTGTTTACATTCAAATCAGTTGGTCTCTACAGCTTTTGAGAAGTGAGATAATATGAGATACTTGTGTAGGTTACCAATATGTCAGAAGCTCCTTTGACATTTGTGTTTTCTCCTCTCTGGTTCAAACTGAATACAGGTTTGTAGCAAAGATGTGTGAAATTAATCAAATCAGAAATTAAATGTTGTATTTCCAAATCAGACTATTGCAGACAGCCAAAACACCGCAGATGGCCTCCAAACTACTCCTGGAACAGCCTGTTCTGTGAAAAAGGATTTGCTTCCCTTTCAGATATTCTGAATTTTGGCTTATCTTTGCTCTCAAACGGTATCAGAAGTTTGCGTAGCATCCGCTGAGTTCTGATAGCATGCAGTGGCAAAGATATTTTTAAAATGAGCAAATACTTTAGTGCAAAATTGTAAGTGCTGTCTCTAGGTTGCCAAAGCAATGACTCTTAAAAATCCCTGATGTCTTTAACCCTGCTGCGATTTTTCGAGTTGTGCCATTTTTGAGCATTGTCTTTTTCACTGTCCTTTATACTTAAAATGTGAGAGCATTTAGTGAGAACTCTCACAAACAATTGCTGCCATGGGGGACCTGTATGTTCACAGAATGACTGACTGGCGAATGTGCCTAATTGCAGAGCCATTTACCCAAAGAGACACTGGAATGATTGCACCAAGCAGCTTCTGAAAGAAACCGGGCCCTGTGCTTCTTGGGCTTTTTCCCCACCCTCTGTTCCTGGCAAGGAGGAATTGATTCTTTTAACAGCAGTTAACTTGTTGTTAGCCTGTAACTATAAGGCTGAAGAGAAAGGGCTCCTTCACACTATGCAATGAACGTGTGAAGGTCATTCTTGCAGCCTATGGTTAAGATAACCTAATTCACTTTAAAAGCAATGCATTTGCTATAGAGGTAGTCCTTCTGTAGTGATTGATTCATTTATTGACTTGGCATTTATAACAGTGATGAAAAATAACTTCATGTCTAATCCTTCCATTTACAATCCTTGCAAGGCTGTAAAGCACAGGCAAACTGAAGGAAAAGCATAAAAATCTTGATGTTTTCATTTAGCGACAACAACCAACCGGTTGATCAAGTTGTGATTGCTGAATAGGAACTGCCTGTATCTGTCATAATAATTAGATATTTGGGTCTCAGCAGGTTCTGGGGACCACATCAGACAGAGTTCCAGATTCTAAGGTCAAGGGTTTCCTGGATGCATCTGTTATCCACTGATGAAAACAGAATTTTTAGTTGGAGGGAGTGGAATAAATTGCTCTTGCTGAACTTTTTTGACTGTGGTCCTCGTATGTTTGTCTGCAGGGGAAATTTTTGCCAACAATCTTTTTTATTATTATTTTTTCCATCAACATATGTTAATTTTTCCCATCAAACAAGTTGTCTGGTGTTTGCTAAGCTAATACATGTTCACTTCCTAATCCTTCATTCTTTTCTCTAACCAAGAATAAAATAAATTTCAAATTTTATAATAGTCTGTATCTTCTTTGTCTTTCAGCCTCATATTTAGTCTGTCCATCTCTGCACATTCCAATATTTTCGTGATTATTTCTTCTTCTGATGGCAATCCTTCATTCTTCCAGTACTGTGCAAAAATTATTCTTGCTGCTGTGGTAATATGTGGAATTAAATATAATTTCTGCTCATTAATCTTTTCAGACATAATGCCTAATAAAAAAAGTTCAGGTTTAAAATCCACTTGTTCGCCCAATATTTTTTCTAACCAGATATGTATGCTTTTCCAATAGGCCTTTGCCTTCCCACATGTCCACCAAATATGATAATACGTGCCTATATTATGTTTACATTTCCAACATCTATCTGATATATTTTTAAACATTTTTGCTAATCTTGCTGGTGGAAGGTGCCATCTATAAAACATTTTATACAAATTTTCTTTGTATGAAGTTGACATTGTTAATTTATAGTTTCTCTCTGCAGGGGAAATTTTTGAACTGAAAGCTGAACTCAACAATGAAAAAAAGGAGAAGAGGAAGGAAGCAGTGAAAAAAGTCATTGCTGCCATGACAGTGGGGAAGGATGTCAGGTAACATCTCTCTAATGGCTCTTGTTTGCTGTTTTTCCCACTTCTCCACCCAAGTGTAAGTTTTAATGAGGCAGAAGGGGAAAAATGAATAAAGGCCTAGGAAATCTCTTTGTGTTTGCTTTGCCCAGTGATTAAATGGCATGCCACCTACAAAGACCAAATACGGCCCCCAAAATGTTGCTTTAGATTCTAAGGCCTATAATACAGTATGTGTTCTGCAAATGAAACATGATTTTATCTGAAAACAGATGCTGTCAGATAATGATGAGTTTTCTTAGTGAGATTCAGTATAGATGGGCAATTTCCCCTTATTTTATCTCTATGGCAATGTTCCTCAAACTCAGCATCTTTAAATTATGTGGACTTCACCTCCCAGAATTCCTCAGCCAGCCATGCGGCTAGGGAATTCTGGGAGGTGAAGTCCACATAATTTAAAGATGCTTTTTGCTGGGGAACACCACTCTATATTGTGCATTAGGTTCGGCTGAGAGAGTCTTAAACCCAAAGTCACAAGGAGTTCTTTAACAAAATGGGGTCTTAAATTTGGATCTCTCTAATTAACTTCAGCATATTAATCACTGCCACCAGTCTAGAAATTACTGCTTTAACTTGGCTGTCCTTCTTGTCCAGTTCCCTTTTCCCTGATGTAGTGAATTGCATGCAGACAGATAATTTGGAGCTAAAGAAGCTGGTGTATCTCTACTTGATGAACTATGCCAAAAGTCAGCCAGATATGGCCATCATGGCTGTGAACAGTTTTGTGAAAGTAAGTTGCAATATTTATGCGTCTTTGCTTTATTTCAATAGCAAAATAATAATTTGGTGGGAAATTTCTGCATATATTAATACTGTAAATCACCCAGAGCCATATGAGCTGGGTATAAAAATGTATACGGACAGTGTGATGGCAGATATATGCATAACCTCAATAACGACTCTTCTTATGTAGATATACAATATTTTTTACCCAAAATAACCCCTCATTTTCATTTCTGCCTACTTTGAAGAAGTTTAGAGTCATACTTTATTTATTTATTTATTACCCCTTTGTTTTTATAAAGAACTCGAGGCGGGGAACATATTTAATACTCCTATTTCCCCCACAACAACAACTCTGTGAGGCAGACTGGGCTGAGGGAGAGTGACTGGCCCAAAGTCACCCAGCTGGCTTTCATGCCTAAGATGGGACTAGAACTCTCAGCCTCCTGGTTTCCAGGCCAGATCTTAACCAATACGCCAAACTGGCTTTCAGTATGATTTTTTTTTAAAAAAAAAATTACAATACAAATCAAATAAGGCAGAAAAAGTGAATGACTAAGTTTACACATTGTGCTAAACTATCATTGTTGCTTTGGTTTGGCTTATGGTGGTGAACATAATTTGGGTAGATCACACTGCCTACATTCAGTGGCAAAATGCCACAACTCAATTTTAAATGTTGAAGGCTTTCATTATTGAAATAAGCAAAAAAGCACATTATGTTTCTACTAAATTTAACACACTTTTTGACTTCATCCCAAAATATGGGCCAATAATGGGACACCTGCTTTCTCTAAGTTATCCCTGCTATCTCCTCTATTGCTCTTAGAAGTCTTTAAAACAAGTGTGGCCTCTAGTTAAAAAAAAACAAAACCACAGAGTTACCTATTCCTTCCTTAGTGTGTTGTATGAGCCCACACAATGATAACTTATTCAGCAAACAGTTGAGCAAAAACCAGGTTTAATGTAATATATAAACATATCAAGTTTCAAAATAATCAGTTTGAAAAAAACTAGTATGCTCTGTAAAGATTTGAATCCAAGTCTTATGGTTGAAATATAACACTTTTGATTGGTACTACAGTGGCTCGGCTCATGCAGGCTCCAAGCTCATTTTTAAGTAAATTATTTGGCCGGGAGTGTGTGTGTGTGTGTGTGTGTGTGTTTGTGTGTGAAGGGCTTTGCACAACATCCTAACTCATTACATTTTTACTTCTTACCTCCTTTCCTTCTCCTCCCCCCCCCAAGCTTCCAAGCTGCAATCTTGCAATGGTGTTGCTCTGTCCTAGCTGACTTTCTCAGCTTCTTTTCTGTCTGATACTGATTGAGCCCAGTGTTGTTAATTGCCAAGCCATTGATTTCCCAGCTGCTGATGTAATTTTACTTGACAGCAGAAATTAGATTGAGAGATTCCTTTCTTTACTATCAGACATGGGGTGGAAAAAAACCACTTTTGAGCAAAAAGGACTCTTCCATTTGGAAATCTGTTATTTTTTTCAGGAACTAGAAAACTTAAAAATAATCACAAAATCTAAGGATTCTGTTTAAGGGCTGAATGCATTTCTGATTAATATATCTAATTCAGTCCTTGCTCCTGGTCAAGATCATTTTTCTTCTCTCCCTGACGTACCCCAGAACATAGGTGTGTGGAGTTCTTCAACTTTCCATTTATTTGCATTAATGGTTATCCTTTCCCTACATAGTAGTAACATTTGTCTGGTCCTTTTGTAATGTCAAGTAAGTTGGGTAAGTAGAAACTCATAGACACTTTAGAGGCAGATAGGACAAGTGCTCTTTTGGAACTGCTGCTATTAATAAGATATGTGCACAATGTTCCAGAGATCTGCTGTTACATTGTTTGTTAGATTGTTTCTCAGGATCCTGACAATCCACCTGTTCTAAGAGAAATCTGCAGCTTTCCAAATATAAATCCTCCAGAACATGAAGTGGCTTGTGATGTTCCAAGTGTAGTTTGACCCAGAACAGAAAAAAGCCCTCTTGTGCTGGATAAAATGTCTAATGTTTGTTGCACAGAGCCAATCTGTATAGCATTGTTTATTAATTTCCTCATCCCAGGACTGTGAGGATCCCAACCCTCTCATCCGTGCTTTAGCCGTGCGCACCATGGGATGTATCCGTGTGGACAAGATCACTGAATACCTGTGTGAGCCTCTCAGGAAATGTCTGAAGGATGAAGACCCGTATGTGCGCAAGACCGCTGCTGTCTGTGTGGCCAAACTGCATGACATCAATGCCCAAATGGTGGAGGATCAGGGCTTTCTGGATTCATTGCGTGATCTCATTGCAGACTCTAATCCCATGGTAAAGTATTAATCTCCTTTGAAATTGCCCTGCTTCAAATAACAGGTGATGCTGCTTGGTTCTGGTGCTTAGTGGTAGATGCCATGCTTTGTAGACAGGAGACGCAAGATTAGTTGTAGTCTTTTCCAGTTTTTGCAAAGAAGGAACATTGAGTTGCTGACTGTGAGGGGTATATTTAGCTTGGGACCTTTCAATCTGAGCAAACAGTTTTAATCTCTTTCTTATACCAAAAGGAAGTTACATGTATTTTGCTTTTTACCTTCACTTTGTACTTGCCCCTGCTTTGTGGATCTTCCAGATTGAAATACAGCATAGCATGGGTCCAGACTATCTGAGAAACTGGCTCACCCCAATGGGATTAGTCTGCTTCACCCATGCTGGCAGAAGGGGCATGCTGCAGTCCCCATCAACCAAGGAACTTCTTGCCCCCAGGGGTCAGATCCGCTCTCAATTTTCTGGCCTTCCAAAAAGCCTTGAAGACACGGTTATGCCAACTAGTCTAGGGCACTAATGGGGATGTACATTTTGGAGGTGGCTGATGGAGTAGAGAGCACTGCACCTCCTACCTTTGTGCACTTTCCACCCTCTTTCTTTATCCTGCTCAGTTTTATTTAAATTTAAGATCTGTATTTATTGTTTTAATTATTTTATACAGCATTTTATTTAATATCTATAAGCTTCCTAGAGTCACCTTGGCAAGATGGGTGGCATACAGGTTTTGAAAAATAAATTTAGACCAAAGTTTAAGGAACCATGGTGGCATAGTGATTAGAATGCAATATTTCAGACTAACTCTGCCACAGCCAGGAGTTTGATCCTGACCGGCTTGAGGCTGACTTAGCATTTCATCCTTCCAGGGTTGGTAAAATGAGGACCTAGATTGTTGGGGGCAATATGCTGACTTTGTAAACCACTTAGAGAGAGCTGTAAAGGATTATGAAGTGGTATATAAGTGTAAGTGCTATTGCTGTTGCTATTGTAGCAAAGATGAGCCCACTTAAATCAATCAGTTTATTGGAAGTGAAAGACGCTAAGTGATTAAAGATTACTTTAAAAGAAGCTTTTAATTCATCTTGGACAAGATACTTTGGAAAAAATGGGTTAGCTTTGTGAGTTATGAATTGGTCGTTCTGAATGGAATGTGGCACTAAAAAATTTAGCTTTCTGAGAATGTTTGTTTTTGTTTTATTAAACTTCATTACTCTCATGCATGTTTGCATTGTGGCATCTGCTGCTTTCTGAGTAGACATTTTGTCTGTCCCCCAGCTTCATATTTAAGACACCTTGAAACATTAGGGTACTTTATTCATATGTGTCCAAGATCACAGTTCTGGGCAAGCTATGCCCAGCAACTTTTCTGTCTGGCTGCAGGTAACATTTGCACGGGGCAAAGGAGATGATTGTCAGAATCATGCTATGTGTGGGTAGGGCTAGAATGTTCTCTTTTTCCCGTATTTGGGATCTTTAGTTTTTGTTTTAAATACTGGGTTATGCCAACTTAAGGGCTTTCACAGTTTCACACATTTCCAGTTTCCAGGATTTTTGGTAATTGCTTGAGAGTAACAAAAATTGGATTTGGTGGTCAAAAGATTTATGGAAGAAGAATAGCTGATGGAAAAGCGAGGGGATTGTGGAGTTTAAGGATAAATTGGCAAACCTTTACCCTGGGACAGCATTTTCTCTGTGTTTTGCTGGGGATTGCATAGGAGACATTCAAGTCTTCCAGCTTTTCCATTTTGAGAGGGTTTAAAAATGGATGCCTTAGGTGTTGCAGAGACTTAAGACATCTATTTTGATCTTGATACCTCCACAAAGGAGTTTCTGCAGGGGGGACAGTTGGAGGAATTTGGCAGGCAGTGCCAAGGCTTGTAGTACCCATTTCACCCCATCCATTTTCAGGGGTAAGATACTAAGAGCCTCCAAAGGGTGTTGAAGCAGCATGCAGCTTTTAAGCCATGGGTTGCTCACTGTTAAATCTGAAGTTCTCGCTGCCTTTTCCTTTCAGTTCTGGAGCAGATCAAGCTGACCAGAATACTGGCTCTGTAGCTCAAACCTTCTGAATAGCGATGTAAGTGTTGGCAAGATGCCACAAAATATCCCAGACTATGATTTGCAGGAAAAACAATAGTTATTGATTACCTTGTGGTTTTCCTGAGGTGGTAGCACTGAAGTCTGGTTTTTGCTGGTTCTTCCCTGAGTGCTCCCCCCCCCTTATAGAAAACCATACACCCTTCTGGCTTTCAGAAGGCATCTGTTTAAGATGCCTCTATTCAGGTTTGCTTGCATGAATATTAATGACTTCTCAGCAACATTATCTTCTCACCACAGCAAGAATGAGCCGAAAGCCAACTTGATTTCTTTATTTTGCCCATCATCCAGACTCCAGGTGGAAATCTTTTTATAAAGAAGGAACAGAAGAAAGAAAGAACAAAGGGGTGCATTCTTTTTAAAAGAAATGAATGATTTTGGCCAATGAAATAATCCACAAATAGATTAAAGTGCAGATGGACTGTTGAACTCATGAATTGCTGAGCAAGTTATGTCCATTGTCATACTACTGTGTTATCAAACATATTTTGGATGATTGAGAAAGACAGGAAGATTGCTAGGAGGATATTGTCACAGTAATGGGTGTAAGAACAAAAGAGAATCTGAGGAAGCAGCATCCCAAGGGAAAGGACACCAGGTGGAGACAAAATGCTGAGAGAAGAAAGGCGAGATGCTGCTGGTAGGAAAAATAATATGAATGGAATAGCTGGAGAACATCTGCCCAGGATGCTAATTTAGAACTCCTTTTCAAGCCCAGTTAGATTATTATTTTAGTAGAGAAACCATTTTGAATAGTTGTTGGATTTTTAGTCTTTCAGACGTTCCTAATAGTTCCCAGAATATATGCTTTACGGTGGTGATAGCATACTTTAGTTTGGCAAGATTCTGTCTATGGGGAGGAACCATAAAGAAATCTACTTGGAGGAATCACACATATCTTTCTTGGTTTTTGAATTGGAGATCGCTGTTCCACATCAGACACTCAGACCGGTGACTAAGCAACAAAGGCAAAAGGAGGCTTATAGATAGTAGCCTTCTGCTAAAGTTTTGGCCCTCTGTAAATGTCCAGTGATGCTGTTCCCCAGCCTGCAGTGCTGGACCTGACAGGAACTGGCTGCAGGGCAGAGTTGGATTAGAATTTGACTTTTAAACCTTCCATAAGTCCTCAGTTTTTTGGAAATCTAAAGCACTTTGGACCAATTCTGTTGTAATTAACAAGCCATTAGAGGGCAGCATGCAATTCTTTTATGGTCATTGATTCCCCAAGTTATAAGGAAAATATTGTACTCAACTTCTAGGAAAGTTAGAGGTTGATCTATAATATTTCTTTTTAATTTTTTTCCTTGTGTTATGTTTTTATTTTACAGTGCCTTGCTCTATGTCTTACCTTTTAATTATTTTCAGGAATTTTAACATTGTCATCTATCCCCATGCAACCTTAGTCTTTGTTTGGCTTAAAAGAATAATAAATGAAGCTTTTTTCCTCAGAGACTGACTTGTGCAAAAGTGTCTCTCTCCTCATCCCCCAGTAATTTCTCCTTTAAACAACCTGGATGCTTTCAACTACAGCTCCCATCAGGCCAGTTTAGCATGGTGAATAGTTAAGGATTATGGAGATTGTAGACCAAATAGTTGAGTTGGTGTGGACATTGAGGGCAGTATAGTCTGCTTTAAAGCAGTGCTTCCCAATACTGGAAAAATTGGGTAAAAGTGATTTTTCCTTGGATAATTACACATGAACCCAATGCCCAATCACCACAAGGACATTTAAATTGACCTAAAATATTTTACTTACATTGGGTAAAAAGATTTTTTGATAAGGAAGGACAAGGTTTGGGAAACACTGCTTTAAAGCTTTCAGGTAGAAAACTGAAGTAGTGTCTTCTTGTGCTTCAGTCAGTGTCTAGGTTATACTCTGTGACAAACCCTAAATCCAAGATAACAAAATACAGTTGGCTATTTTATATAAGAGAGCCTTAACCACTATACTTTGCTGTAGCGGTTAAGGCATTAGGCTGGAAAGCGAGAGACCATGAATTCTAGTTCTGCTTTAAGCACAAAACCATTTGGGTGACTTTGTGCCTGTCACTCAGCTCTAGGAAGAGACAATGGCAAACCAGTTTTTTTAACCCGCCTTTATTATTTTTATAAATAACTCAAGATGGATAACACCTTTCTCTTCCTATTGACCCCACAACCACAACCATCCTGTGGGGTAAATTGGGCTGAGAGAGACTGGCCCAAAGCCACCAGCCAGCTTTCATGCCAAGGCAGAAGTAGAATTCAGTCTTCTGGTTTCTAGCCAATAGGGGTTGCTTTAACCACTAGACCAGTGGTTCTCAACCTGTGGGTCGGGACCCCATTTGGGGTCGAACGACCATTTCACGGGGGTCGCCAAACAATGCAGTCTGCCATTTTTCCCCCCTTTTCCTTAGCTGTGCTACTCCCTTTTATTCTATTGGCTTTTGAAAGCCAATAGAATAGACTCTCTTAAATAGAGTCTAATTCTATTGGCTTTCAAAAGCCAATAAGAATTGTCCAGGCTGTCTCTGCCCTGCTGAGCCCGCCAAAAGTCCCATTCTGCAAACGGTGCTGCACCAGTTGAGTAGTCCTCGACTTACGACCGGTTGAGTAGTCCTCGACTTATGACCAGTTGGGGGTCGCAGCATTAAAAAGGTTGAGAACCACTGCACTAGACCAAAATGTTGCCAAGAAAACTGCAGGGACTAGTGTCCATGTAGCATAATACTGTGCCCCGACAGTCTTAGCTGGTGACAGAGATCTGGGATCTTTGTGTGGAGTTAAGCAGGATCTCAGTGGGGTATAAGTATTCCTATTTTGGTAAGCCCTTGTTTACATAAGTTCTTTGTTGGTTTGTTGTTCTTGCATTGTTGATCTTTGCCTACACAATGTCAGAAATCTAGAAATGGCGAATGTATCCTTTCACTGTATCGCCAAGGATTGTAGGTCACCATCTTTTCACTTCATTAAATGGCATCGAGGGAGAGTTTAGGCAGGCCCAAAGAGTTGAACCTGCCTGGATCTTTCCCAGCAGGCAGATTTGCACATAATGGCATATTTCTTTTCACTCAAGCAGCACATCCCTAATGTTCCACTCCTCCCAATGTGCTTTTATTCTGAACGTGGAATGGGGGGCAGCTTTGGAAAGACCCCTGTGGTTCTGCCTCTTTCATCTTCCCAGCCACTGCGAAGGCCAGCTGTGATTTTCCATTCTCAGAAGCTTTTCTCCAATAACTGGCATTCTTCATAGGCTGCTGGATATAAAGTGTAGAAATCCATTTTTCTCCCTCTTTTGTTCTGTTGTAAAAGAAAAACAGGATAATTTAAAAAAAAACCCGAATTTTAGAAATTCTTTTTATATAGGACTGTATAGGATAGGGACAGGAATTAATTATATTAAGTATGGTGCCCGGCTTTTGAGTCCTAATAATAAACTACTGCACCCCAGAGTCAGTGTTTTTAAATGCTTGATCATATCTCCTGTTTAATAGATACACATATGATGCCATTTTCCTGGAAAGACATTCCTTGTTTTTACTTTCCTCTTTTAAAATGTATTGCTGTGAATTTTGAGCCAGGGTAGAAGAATTGTTGGTCAGCATATTCAGAGCATGATAGATAAGAAGCTGCTGTGATCAGATAGGTGACAACTTTTCAAGCAGTGTTCTTATCCGTAGCCACTTGAAACTGTGTGGATTTCAACTCCCAGAATCCTCCAGCCATCCAGAGAGAGAGAGGCTTCTTGGGTTGCAGAAAAACTCTGAACCAGAAACTTAACTCTGGAGCCTTTCCATGCATCCAGAGTCTAGTCCCTGAATACCCTAAGCAGCTGACAGTTTCTCTTGTCCATAAATGGATAAGAGATTTAGCTGTATAACTTTAGCTGTATAACTTTTAATTATAATTATCTTTTTGTTCTATTATAATTGACTTTTTACACTTTTAAACTTTTATTATATTGCAAGCTGCCCAGAATCACTGTATGAGTGAGATGGGCAGCACAGAAATCCAATAAATAAGAATAAATAATGATGTTTTGGTTTAGTATGTTATGTGAATCTGGCTACTGTTTGTAGTTTATAGGCCACGACTTATGACAATGCAATGTGCAAATCTCGCTAGCTATATATTCTTTAATCATCATGATTCAAAAAGCCAAATGTAGACAGAGTGGCATGTGTAATCTTAAAGGAACCATTGTCTCTGAGCATGTAATAGAGAAAAGGGAATATCTTCCAGAAAGAGCCTTCTGGGTTAATATTTTTTTCTGAATACTCATGTGTATTATGGATAAATACCAATTTTATATTACAGTGTTTTATGTATTTATTTTTATTGGTTGAAGGGATTTTGTAAACTCTTGTCAGCCCATGTGGAGACATAGTATATAAATATATGTACAGATAGTTCTTGACTTACAACAGTTCACTTAGTGACTGTCCAAAGTTACAATGGAACTGAAAAAAGTGACTTGTAACCATTTTTCACAGTTATGACTGTTGCAGCATCCCCATGATCACGTGATTTACATTCGGATGCTTGACAACCGACTCACATGTATGACATTGTAGTGTCCCAGGGTCATGGGATCATCTTTTGCAACCTTCTGACAAGAAAGGTCAATGGGAAACTAGATTCATTTAACAACCATGTTAGTAGCTTAACAATTGCAGTGATTTACTTAACAAATGTGGCAAAAAAAGTTGTAAAATGGGACAAAACTCACTTAACAAATTTTTCACTTAGCAACATAAATTTTGGGCTCAGTTATGGTCATAAATTGAGGATGACCTGTATTACATATTTTTTTTAATTGGTTGAATACAAAACAGGGATTTTGTAAACCCCTGTCAGTCCATGTGAAAAAGTAATATATGAATATTAAAAAATGTGGCTGAATTGATCCATTGTTCAGAAGTTCTATTTAAATCAGTCAATATGGTTTTTTTTAAAAGGAAATGAGCTGTAGCACAACTTAATCATTTCAAAAAAATCTCCATCCATCCTGCAGACTTGACTTCAGAAGTTCATGCAAGGTAAGCAGCATTCTGAAGTTTCTGCTCCACTGCTGAGTATCAAGCTTTTTGCTCTCTCTTTTTGCCAGGTTGTGGCCAATGCTGTTGCTGCCTTGTCTGAAATCAGCGAATCTCATCCAAATAGCAATCTGCTAGATCTGAACCCTCAGAATATCAACAAGCTACTCACCGCTTTAAATGAATGCACGGAGTGGGGGCAGATATTCATCCTAGATTGCCTTTCCAACTACAACCCAAAGGATGACCGTGAAGCCCAAAGGTTGGCTGATCTATGACTGCTCTGCTTGAATGGGAATTCTCCTTTCCTTTTACTGAAACTTTGATAAAGTTCTGTGACTTCTTCACTGTGGCAGGGGGTACAGTGGAAGACCCTGCCCATAGGTTTTCTAATATCCAGTTCTGGCTCGGTTCACAGATCACACTAAGCTAGCCCTGGCTTACTTATATTTATTTAACTTGATTATACAACCATCTGCCAAACTCTCTTGATCACCAATGATAAAGAACAAATGTAAAATAGAGACATTCAGAGTAATTAAATGGCAAGTGAAAAAGCAAATAAAATGAACAAGTATAACGAAAGAATAGATCGGCAGTTAAAATCAGTTTCTGACCAGTTGCCGCATTCCATAGCCATGGGATTGTGATTTGCACCGTTTTTACCATTTTCCAGGGGAAAAAAAAATACCCATTGGATATGCTGGATTTGCTTAATGGCCTCATGATTCACTTTAGAGCCTCATTGGCTTACTTTATGACTATTGTAAAAATAGTCATAAAATTAAGTTGAGCCATGTGATGGCTCAACTTATGACTGCAATAACTTACAACCTAAAGGCCACGCTCCATTGTGGTCGTGATGCGAGGATTACCTGTAGAACCATTGCAAAGCCATGTGTCCTGTTCTCAAATCTATTTGATGATCCAGAAAGATCATTTAATCATTTAATGGTATCTAAAGTCACTGAAAAATCAAGAATAAGTCATCCATCTTATCTTGATTTTTAGATAATTAGAACTGATGCAGTCTCAATCGCGTAGCCATTTTAAAATGGGTCAGGCTATTCTACAGCCTCCAGAATTGCCTGCAGTTGAGAACCTACCACATTGTCAGTCACCCTACACAACCTTGAGAGTTAGAGAGTGGCTTATTATTAGCTCTTTTTGACAGTGAATTCTCAGATAAGGATAATTGCTGATTTCCATCTTCTCAGACCTTCTTTATCTCTATCAGTATAAAAATTGCTTAGAGTAGAATTAAATTCTAGATCGACAGTTGTTAACTTTGGTTATTCTTCAGCAATTCCTTGAGGTATACACAACTTAAAGATAGTGGCATGTTCAAGAAGCAGACTGGCATTATTTTTTATGTATTGTATACATTAAATTTATAGCATCGTGGAACTCCCTATTTTTTCCCCCCAGAACATCAACCCTGTGAAATGGGTTGTGTTGGGGCAAAGCAACTGGCCTCAAGTTGTCCAGGAAGCTTCTGTGGTTAGGGATACGTTCTCATTAAAACCAGATATTAAGAAAACCCAGTGTTAATATTAAACCACTAACAGAGTTGGCATGCAGAACTTCAAAACTTTCTTTGGATATTATCCAAAGGTAGGTTTCTGTAAGAGGAATAGGAGGGGTGTGATTTCCCCTTACCACTTCCCACTCTTAAAATCTGCTCTGCAGACTTCTCAGATCTTATAGAGCAGATTTTGAAGGAGTGTAGGAAGCTGTGGTATGAAGCAGAAATCAGATAATGTAGTTTTCTTTTTGCCATCCCATGAACTGAGAACTGCTTCCCAACCGTATTATCCCAACAGGTAGCACTACCTGGGCCCTCTGATCTAACATTCAAAGCTAAACAGTATCAGGCCCAATTACTACCTTGATCTGAGGCTACCAGAGAATCCCAGGAGCATAGCAACAGAGATTGTGAAGTTGAAAAACATCTTGGAAATAGCAGGGAGCTCCTTCTGTACTGTTGGCAGGAAAATTGTTCAGGTATCTCCGTGCCATGAGGAGTCAGGTTTGACTTGAAGGAGGCTTAATTTTAATGTCTGAGCTTATTTTCCACAGGCCAGATAAATGACAGCTATTGTGACATTTTTGTCAGTTGCCTTTAGTGAAACTTCCTTCCCCTTTTAATGCTGATTCTCAATGCACTTTAGGACAACAGTAAAATTTCTCTTTTTGAGCTATTGTTTAATGGCTGAGAATCAGTAAACAATCTGAGATTGATTAATCCAGGTATTTCAGATTGCATCTGAACCAGTTTTATTTCTGGATGTTAAGAACCAACAGCAGTAGATTAGCTATTTCCAATATGCACTGCTTGTCTGCTTCTTTATTAGCACCTATGACTATCAACAGAAAATATTGTAGTCAAGACCCTCGAGGATCTACTTAATTGGATATCTGGTTCTGCACAGCAAAACTCTTTTTTAAAAAAACCCCATGTGTTGCCTGCTAATTTTGGATTATCAAAATGTGTCTCTCCAGCATAGCCAGGGTTTTTCAGGAGAAAAGAACAGTCTTAGCCTCTATTCTTATTTCTCTTCTTTGGCAGCATATGCGAACGGGTGACGCCTCGCCTCTCTCATGCCAACTCCGCTGTTGTGCTTTCGGCTGTCAAAGTCCTAATGAAGTTCCTAGAGCTCCTTCCCAAGGATTCTGACTATTACAACATGTTGTTGAAGAAACTGGCCCCTCCATTGGTCACCTTGCTGTCCGGCGAGCCTGAAGTCCAATATGTTGCTTTGAGGAACATCAACTTGATTGTGCAGAAAAGGTCAGGCACAAGGAAGGATGTTGTTTCAAAGATTCTGATTGAATAACTACATATGAGACAGTTTTGTTTGTTCAACTTGGGCTGATCCTGGTATTCTGCAACTTCAGGGATATGTTAATACAGAGTTATTTAATGGCATTGGCTCACAAAAAGTGCACTACTGGTAAATAGTTTGAAATGCCATTAAAGGGGGGAAATAGAGAAATTTGGACCACTGTTATTGTTCTATTTGCAGATGATTTAATACAGCTTTTCTTACCTGCCAGATTTCCTAGTAGGTTGGATTATATCTCCCATTATTCCCAGCCAGCAGAGTGTCTGCGCTAACTAGGATAATATAATCCATCATATTCAGAGGTACAAGTAGGTGATAGGGAGCTGACTAGAATTGCTTTCACATCTCCTGTTAGTCTGCATGGCAGTTCTTTAACTGGAAAACAAATGCAAATCTGCCTTTTGTCAGGAATGAACAAGAGTGCAGCTTGGTGATAATTTTAGTGTGTGTGCTCATTCCTTTCCCAGGCCTGAAATCCTGAAGCAAGAGATCAAGGTGTTTTTTGTGAAATACAATGACCCCATCTACGTGAAGCTGGAGAAACTCGATATCATGATTCGCTTAGCATCCCAGGCCAACATTGCTCAGGTCAGTCTGGGACCCAATGGGTCTCATTTCACATTTGTCTAGAAAATGTCTTCCAATAAATACTTTGCCATGAGCTTTGCAGTTACTTGTAATCCCTGACCCCCCCCCCCCATCTTGGTGCCTTGGGATGACATTGTGACAAATAACACGTTTCTTGACTGTGTCCAGCTCCCTGCCTTCCTTAGTTCTTTTCTCTGACAAGTCTGTATGCTGCATGACTCGAACCCAACCTAAACAGACAATAATAAGGGTGTGGCTACAGCCCTCTGCTTGGTTGGCCTTCTGATAAATGGATCTATGGGTATGGCCATTCCTACCCTGGGAATTCTTTGATGAGAATGCCCAGAACATGGTCCCAGTATTCCAAATCTGTCCACTGGCTTAAAATGATTACGATCTCCTGCTGTAATACATTTCCAATGTGTTTGTATTTCTTTGTAACAGATGGTCTAGAAACTTGTAAACTTTTTTCCCTTTTATTGGATCATATCAGTAGTAGCAAGCCAATAGGGGACAAGGGCAACAAGAAATAGTGTCACACTCAGACTTAATCTGAGGGTTTTTTTTTTTTTTACTTATTTCCAACAGGTTTTAGCAGAACTGAAGGAGTACGCCACAGAAGTGGATGTGGACTTTGTCCGCAAAGCTGTCCGTGCCATTGGACGATGTGCCATCAAAGTTGAAGTGAGAAGCTTTTCTTCCCTGATTTTGCTTTTATTTATTTATTTATTTATTAGACTTATATACCGCTTTAAGTGCAAGCACTCTCTGAGCGGTGTACACTAGTTCAGTCAGCAGGGAACTGTTACAATTTAAAATGCATTTATCTCTGGAACAGACTGACCTCCTCTACCATTGCCAACCCCTCCAAACTCCCTAGCAGCTTTTCTAACAATAAACATGATTTGTTATTTATTGAGCTTAACCGACATAGGAGCCAACACTGGGAAATGCTTTTGCTTTTTAAAAAAGGGCAAATATTTGGGGGTGAATCAGCAGGATTTCATGTTCGATAAATTCAGCAGATAACAATTTTAAAATGATGAATTTCGAGTTTCTAGGACAAATGGAGGAATGCCTGGCTTTTCCATATGATAGAGTGCTCTGCTGTTAGGCTATGCAGGTAGTTTTTGACTTATGACCACAATTGAGCCCAATATTTCTATTGCTAAATAAGGCAGTGGTTAAGTGGCTTTTGTCCCCTGTTACGACCTTTTTGCCACAGTTATTAAGCGAATCACTGCAGTTGTTAAGTGAATCATACAGTCATTAAGTAAATCTGGCTTCCTCCATTGACTTTGCTTATCAGGAGCTAGCCATAAATGCCAATTGCCAAGTGCCCACATTTTGATCACGTGACCCTGGGGATGCCACAACAGTCATAAGTGTAAAAAACATTCGTAATTCACTTTTTTGTTGCCCTTGTAACTTGAAGAGTCACTAAATTAATGATTGTAAGTTGAGGACCAGCTGTATTTTTTTTTCCCTTAGACATGGAAACCCACCTAAACATTGTAGCATTAGAAATAAAGCTACTTTATTTGCCATCAGACTGTTTAGTTTAAGATTAGATAATTGGTTGAGACAGGCGGAGCTTCTCCGTGGTCTCTTTATCAGAGATGTTGGAGACTAATTCTCACTGCATTTCCTAGGACAGTGATTCATGTTGGATAGACTCTTGTATCAACAATGGTTTCTACTAAACCAGAAATATTCAAATCTATGAAAATCTTGGGAAAAATGCCTGTCTTCAGGGGAGGCTGATTAAGTTAGTAAGGCCCTCGATATGTACCGTATACTGACACTTGAGGAAAGGTGGTCCTTTCTGTCTATATGATTAGAAAGAGCCATCACACAAAGAAGTACAGGCATTCATTCATAGACTGATAATGTGCCTAAGACAGTTTCCATAACTTTAAAAAAATATTAATGGTATTAGCAGCAAATGTGTTTCGAGTATAGCGTACAATCTCCATTAAGCAAATATAGACTGAAATGTCTCATTTCATGGCATTTAGGGATGTTTTCCATGCAAGGACAGTTTCTTCTGAATGGGTGGAACATGATCTCTGCTTTCTGATTTCTAAAAAGGGACGTCTTCTCATAGTGATGTGTTTTAAGCCAGGAGATGACAAGGATTGTCTGGCTGCCATTGTGGAAGAATCTGTTTCGTTGCCCAAGGGATGCCCGGGTTTAGGATTCCTACGCTCTTCCAAAGCAGACAGTGTGACATATTGTGGAGTAGTGCCCTCTGAGCTCATATCAGAGAAACCCCAGAGACTCTCTGTATGCAGTTTTATCATGTACTGACTGTATAAACAGTCTACTTTTGAATTTGTGAATATAGCAAATAGTTTCATATTTGCTCATTGAGAAGTGCTTTTTAACACTTTTGCCATCCACTAAAATAAATAAATAAATCTAAAAAGGGAGTGGATGTGATACATGTAGGTGAAGTTATTGAATCGTGAGGCATATCCAGGTTAGCCTTTATACTCGAGCAAACTTTCTACTTGAAGATTTCTGCTCTTTTGTGTCCTTTTTGACAGCAATCTGCTGAGCGCTGCGTGAGCACACTTCTGGATCTCATCCAGACCAAAGTCAACTATGTAGTGCAGGAAGCCATCGTGGTCATCCGAGACATCTTCCGCAAGTATCCCAACAAGTAAGTACAACTACCAAATGAAGTGTGCAGAAGCGACCTTGCCAATACTAATTGTGGCTTACTTAAGGGATGCCAATTTGTATGGCCTTTAATTGACCTAGTGGAGGAACACCTGAATGAGTAGTGACAGGGCAACTTAATTTGAGAAAAATCAGGTGGCATTGATTAAATACAGTGAATGCATTATTCTCCATAGATTTAGAATCACAAAGTGGGAAGGGAATTTAGAATCCGTTTAGTCCAACCTCTTCCATTAGAGCATTTGCATTCTCTGAAAAAGAATTCACCATTTCATGTGGCAACCTGTACTACAAATTGACAGCTTGTACACTCAGAAAGTTCCTCATGGTATAATAATAATGATGATGATGATGATGATGGTAGTGTTGGTGGTGGTGGTGGAAGGGACCTTGGTGGTCATCTAGTCCAACCCCTGCACCCTACACCATTTCGGACAGATGACTGTCCAGTCTCTTCTTAAAAACTTCCAGTGTTGGAGCATTCACCGCTTCTGGAGGCAGGTTGTTCTACTGGTTAATTGTTCTATCAGGAAGATTCTTCTTAGTTCTAGGTTGCTTCTCTCCTTGATTAGTTTCTATGGTGTTTAGGCTGAACCTCCTACTTTATGGTTTTAATCCATTGGTTCTAGTCTTTCCCTCTGGGGCAGTAGAGAATAATTTCACTTCCATTTGATAAGACTAGAGCACAGGTCGGCAACCTGCGGCTCCGGAGCCGCATGCGGCTCTTTAAGCCTTCCCCTGTGGCTCCCAGCCTCCTCTGCCTTTGCAGAGAGAGACAGAGACAGAGAGAGGCAATTGCATTTCCCTGCTTCTCTCTCTCTCTCTCTCTCTCTCTCTCTCTCTCTCTCTCTGTGTATGTGTGTGTGTGTATGTGTAAAAGAGAGTGCACTCACAGTGTTCTCCGAGGAGCTGAAAAGCTTTCTGGGCGGAGCTCCTCCCTTTGCTGCGTCTCTGAAGGAAGCAGGAAGCAGGAAGGGCAGGAGAAAACTAGCTAGCCCAGCTAGGCTGACTCAGGAATTCTGGGAGTTGAAGTCCATGAGTCATAAAAGAGATGAGGTTGCTTACCCCGGAGGTTGTTGGACAACAGCTTGAAGCTTGCCAGGTGAGCAGCAGATAGGAGGGGGGGAGAAAGAAAGAGAGAGAAAGAGAGAGAGAGGGAGAGAGAGAGTGGGGGAAGAGGAGTGGCAGACCAAGGGCAGATAGAGAGGGAGGGAGAGAGAGACCCTTTTGACATCTAAAATGAAGATAACACTGCATATATCCTTTTTTTACCTGTGTGTGTATGTAATTTTATTCTCTTAAAGCATTCTCTTGGTGATCATTGTTTTAATAGTATGGATATTCCCAAGAGTCATATTTTTACTTTTATTTTTAATGTGTATATGTGTGTGTGTGTGTGTGTGTGTATATACACACACATACACATACACACACACACATACACACACCTATAATAAAGGTAAAAAAGGATATATGCAGTGTTATCTTCATTTTAGATATCAAAAGGGTTTTGCGGCTCCCAGTGTTTTGTTTTTGGTGGGAAATGGGTCCAAGTGGCTCTTTGAGTGTTTTGGGTTGCCTAACCCTGGACTAGAGTGTCCAGAATTGGACACAACACTACAGGTTATGTCTGGCCACGGCAAAATAGATTGGAAAAAAAATTTTTTTTTTCGATATGCCTTTTTAGCATTTGAATCACAATACTGGTTCATATTGAACTTGTGGTCAACAAAGATAACCAATCTCCTTTGATATGTACCACTGCTAAAATCTAATCTGTTTTTGCTCAACTCATCTACATGTCTTCATCAACACTAGTGATTGATGATCTGAAATACCAATAATTATTCCAGAAGTGGAAAGCAGGTATGGGACCATGGGATGAGGTGCTTTGCAGAGATTTGAAGTAGACAAGGGAAGATACTTGGTAAACAGAGGATAGGGGATTATTAAAGTGGCTGTAACAATAGTTAAAACCAGGATCTGAAGATCTTGGAGCAAAAGGAGGATGAATGCAAGGTTTGTTTTTGGGAGAAAAAAACTTAGGGCACAAGAAGTTTTGATAAGGGCATAAGAAGTTTTAACCAATTCTGCCTTGGTTAAATTAGGTATGAGAGTATCATTGCCACACTTTGTGAAAACCTTGATTCTCTGGATGAGCCAGATGCCCGAGCAGCTATGATCTGGATTGTGGGAGAATATGCAGAGAGAATTGACAATGCAGACGAGCTCTTGGAGAGCTTTCTGGAAGGCTTCCATGATGAAAGCACTCAGGTAATACTGATATCTCCATATTCCTGTCTCAGTTTTCTGAAGGAAAAAACTGGGTCCTTGATTTCAGCAGCTTGATTCTGGCCAAAAGCTTGCCCATGTTTTTCTTTCCACAAGCTGTTTTTTCTCCACAGTGCTGCTTCTCTATTATGTGCTGCTAAACCCCTGCTGGTGCAACTTTTTCCTATTTGCCCTCTGGATACGTCCAACTATTCCTAATTCCCAGCAGCTGGGGAAGAGTTTGCTTTTCATTAACTCTTTTAAGACAAAACTGGGATTTCATCTTTGTCACCACATCTCTGCCAAATTCCAAGTACATTCATATTTTTGACTTTGGCAGACAGCTGTCACTTCATCCCTGAAGGTATTTAAAAATAGCTTTGCAATGTAATCGGGATATTATCTCAACAGAGAACGGTTTGTCTTTGTTAATTGTATTTGTCTATCATCTTTTACTGACTCAGTTTTGTTCTTGCTTCTCAGCAACTGATCAGAACATCTTTCCTTTTTTTCATGTCTCAGTATTAGCTTCTCCCTGCAAAGTTTTTTGCATTGGTCTATAACTCAGATTGCTCTGGATCTGCCCATCTCTCTTACTTTTGTGTAATTGGTGTAGTTCTGACAGCTTATGCAGAAGCCCCAGTAGAATATAGATCAGGGGTCTTCAAACTTGGCCCTTTTATGACTTGTGGACTTCAATTCCCAGAATTGCTCAGCCATGCATGCTGGCTGAGAAATTCTGGGAGTTGAAGTCCACAAGTCATAAAAGGGCCATGTTTGAAGATCCCTGATATAGATAATAGAACATCCATGTTTAGAGTAATATAGCCTAAGCACCAGCTGCTCAGGGGTAAATATGGAAGACCTGTTTTTCCCCCAGACTTGCTTACTGCTACCTGGAGACGTTAGATTGATTGGCAATTGGGGGAAGCAGGATGCTAGATTAAATTTAGAGCTGCTTCTTTTCTTTATTAATTGCAGGAAGAGCTGCATCACACAGTTGCTTAACCTTTCTGTCTTTGTTTAAACTTATATCCCATTGAAGGCAATATTTCCTGAGATCAGGAAAAAATGTAATTTGTAATTTGTCCATCAAAAACCTTCCTCATTTCTTTGTTCTTGCTTTTCCTCCAGGTGCAGCTCACTTTGTTGACTGCCATTGTAAAGCTATTTTTGAAGAAGCCATCCGAAACACAGGAATTGGTCCAGCAAGTTCTGAGTCTTGCTACACAGGTAAGGCACAGACCCTCTTTACCTGCACTTCCTATGCTGAAAAGTGTTAGCATCACTGTCATGCTATCAAAAGGTCTTCCCAATTCTTGGTTATATTGTCTGCAGTGACTTTGGAACCCTTTCCAACTGGTTGCTGGTAATATTTGAATAATATCAACATGGAATGGTCAGCAATGTGTGGCTACTTTCCATGCCAGTATCTGTCCTGCACATTAAAGAGCTCGTGTTTTTTTTTAAAAAAGAAAAGCAGTGCTAGGGATAATGAATGCTGGTGTTGATTGTTTTAAAGGGGGATTAAATAAATTAAAGTTGGAAGCATGTCTGTGAGTCAGTATAGATTGGGATGTCTGATTGCAGCTTCTACATTTTTTTTATGGGCAAGCAGTGCATCTCTGATTATTATTCGACAACAGCAGAGATGGTTGACTGTCTTTCTGTTGTCCACAGAAAACCATGGAATAGCTAGCTTTTGGTAATCAGAGGTGGTAAACTCCCATCTCCAAAGGGGTTTCATTTGCAGTTCTCACAGTTAACAATACTGTATCTAGTTCTTTTCTTGGAGGAAAAAAAGTCTGTCACATACAGGTAGTCCTCGATTTAGAACCACTATTGAGCCCATCGTTTCTGTTGCTAAGTGAAACATTTGTTCAGTGAATTTTGCCCCATTTTATGGCCTTTCTTGCCACAGTTATTAAGTGAATCACTGCAGTTGTTAAGTTAATAACATGGTTGTTAAGTAAATCTGGCTTCCCCATTGAGTTTGCTTGTCAGAAGATTGCAAAAGGTTGTCAAGTGATCCTGGGACACTGCGACTGTCATAAATATGAATCAGTTGCCAAGTGTCTGAATTTTGATCCCGTGATCTTGGGGATGCTGCAATGGCCATAAGTGTGAAAAATGGTCATAAATCACTTTTTTCACCGATGTAACTTCAAATGGTTACTAAACAAACTGTTGTAAGTTGAGGACTACCTTTGGTTTGGCTGACATACTCTGCAATAGCAAGGATTCCATAAGTTGTTTTATTGTTGCTTGTGTAGCAGCCATGGTACTTTCACCAACATTAAATGTAGGGAAAACAGATCACCAGTCTTAAGTGCAAGGATGCCCTATTACGAGTCGCATGGCTTTATCCAAGAAACACTTTTCAAACAAGGAAGGCTATTTACAGTAGATAGTCAATTCAAGGTGTTGGTAGTTTCCTATAAAGCCCTTCATGGCATGAGGCCAGTTATTTGAGGGACTGCCTCTCCCAATTCTATTAAATCCAGCAGGAGAGGTATGCTACAAAATAATAATAATAAGAAGAATGATAATGATGATGATGTTGGAAGGGACCTTGGAGGTCATCTAGTCCAACCCCCTGCTCAGGCAGGAAACCCTATACCATTTCAGACAAATGGCTGTCCAGTCTCTTCTTAAAAACTTCCAGTGTTGGAGCATTCACCGCTTCTGGAGGCAGGTTGTTTCACTGGTTAATTGTTCTAACTATCAGGAACTTTCTCCTTAATTCTAGGTTGCTTCTCTCCTTGCTTAGTTTCCACCTGTTGCTTCTTGTCCTGCCTTCAGGCGCCTTGGAAAATAGCTTGACTCCCTCTTCTTTGTGGCAGCCCCTGAGATATTGGAACACTGCTATCATGTCCCCCTTCATCCTTCTCATCATTAAACTAGACATATCCAATTCCAGCAGCCGTTCCTTATATGCTTTAGCCTCCAGTCCCCTAATCATCTTTGTTGCTCTTTTCTGTACTCTTTCTAGAGTCTCAACATCTTTTTTACATCGTGGTGACCAAAACTGGATGCATCACACTGGTGATAGGTTTGTGGAAGAGAGAACCTGTGGCCCTTCATATACTGCAGAACAATAGTTTTCAGTGCCATCTGGCAGGATCTAGGAGGAGAACCTTTTCTATTATGGCATCTGTTCCTTGGAACATCATCTCTCCAGAGATTATAATAGCCTGACCCAGTTGGCCTTGAAAATGTTCCTGTGTCATTGGGCACGAGGATTGGAATATGAGGCAGAGTCACAGGATAGTTATGGTGATAGGTTTGTGGAAGAGAGAACCTGTGGCCCTTCATATACTGCTGAACAATAGTTTTCAGTAGCCCAGCTAATGGTAAGAAGTGCTATGAGTCATAATTTAATGACATCCAAAGGGAAAAAAAATCTCCTATGACTTTTAAACCATATTATAGAAACTGAGAATTTTAAAAAAATACACTGCTCCAGAACTTATCAGGGAGACCTAATTTATATGTGAAGAATCAAAAATGGAAAATAGAGTATACCTCCACAAGTTTCAGGAGCCATTTAAAATGTATCTTCCTTGATAGTATAAAATATACTTCTAAATATTGACATCCTGCTAGCTTCTCACTCCTGAAATCACAACCCCAAGGGGTCATCTGTGCTTTTCTGTTATTGTGCATTCATATGATGAATAGTATGGTTTTAAAACTCCATCAAAGAAAACAGATCTCAAGAAATAAGCAATGACCAAAATAGAACATGATGACCAAAACCAACATTTTGCAATTAAGTTTACATGAGTTGGCATAGCTCGACAGATGAGTCAGTGGATACCCAGAGAACAAAACTTAACTTTGTGTTCCAGCAGCTTCTTTCTTTGTTTAATAACTGTACCACTTGTACCAGTGCCCCATCAAACAGGGAGTAGCCAGAGTTTGTAAAGATGTCTCTTTCTTGAGTTTTCTTTCCCAGAACATTAAATAAAATCTACAGGTTCAATGCTTCCTCAGTCAGGAGCAGGAATCTGTCAATTTTTCATCCCTATTTGAATCATACAACAGAGGGATGGGGAGGCGACTGGAACTGGCTCCCTTTACACCACTTCTACACCTCCAATCTTGTGCTAACTCATTTTAACTGTTAACATTGCACACTAACCATGTTCCCTACACTTAATCGATTTAAACACAATTGTGCAAAGAAAACCAATCTGAGGGGTACTGAACTCATTCTGACAACATTGTTGAAATTTGTAAAACACTATATTTTTAAAGAACTCTCAGACTTTTAAATGTTTATTTGGAAGTGAAAAGAGGCTTACAAATTGTTTTACTTTAAACCAAGGGTTTCAAATAGTTTCTGGCTAAAAAACTTGCAATTTTTTTTTAAAAAAATCCAGAATCCTTGGTCAAGCTTTAGTGATTAAAAAAATGGTTGCATTTGAATGAACTTTTTTTCCTTTAGTTTCTCGTGGACTCTTGTGTCCCATGGAACGCAGATTTAAAGTTTTACAGAAAGGACTTTTTATCACTAAAAAGTCCCATTCTGGGGTGCCCAATCTTGTGTAATCTTATCAAGCTTCAGATATGTGAGAAATATTGGTGATTTTTCTCTAGAAAATATTTTTAAAAAGACCTATTTTTGACATTAGATTCCTGTGCATTCTTTTCCCCTTCAACCTCAGTATTCCTCTGTCAAAGTTTGTTCCAAATCAATATCCATTAACAGAAAACCTTTTTCTGCCTTAGGATTCTGACAACCCAGATTTACGTGATCGTGGCTACATTTACTGGCGACTCCTCTCCACAGACCCTGTCACTGCCAAAGAGGTGGTTTTGTCAGAGAAGCCCCTGATCTCTGAAGAGACAGACTTGATTGAGCCCACTCTGCTGGATGAGCTCATTTGCCACATTGGCTCGTTGGCATCAGTGTATCACAAACCACCCAATGCCTTTGTGGAAGGCAGCCATGGAATCCACCGCAAACACCTGCCCATCCATCATGGAAGGTGAGAGAGGCAGAGTGACTTTCTCAGTTATTTGCTTTAAAAAAAAGCTCATATATAGAAATATTACCCTGTCCTGATGCCCTTACAATTTTATGTGACTGGTTTGGAATACAAAATTTAAAAACAGACTCAAAATTCACATGAACATGGAAACAATACAGGTAGTCCTCAATGTATGACCGCAAAAGTATCCATTCTGAAATAAGACAGTTGTTAAGTGAATTTTGCCCCATTTTATAACTTTTTTGCCACAGTTGCTAAGTGAATCACTGCAGTTGTTATGTTATTAGTATGGTAGTGAATCTGGCTTCCCCACTGACTTTGCTTGTCAGAAGGTTGCAAAAGGTGATTCCGTGGCTTTGGGACACTGCAGCCTTCATAAATGCACGCCAGTTGCCAAGCATCTGAATTTTGATCACGCGATCATGGAGATGCTGCAATATTTGTAAGTGTGAAAAACAACAGTCACATCACTTTTTTTTCGGTGCCATTGTAACTTTGAATGGTCACTAAATGAATGGTTGTAAGTTGAGAACACATGGGAAGAAAGTTCATAAGCAGTCACATAATATCTTGCCAGAAAATGTGAGACATACAGGAAACATTGCCTGAATCAGGGTAGGTCATAAGCAATCACATCCATAATGGAGGCCATAACAACTTTTTTGCACTGGTTGTTAAAGCAAACTGATGGTTTACTTTGGGTGCAGTTTTGCCCAAAACCAAACATAAATGCTGATTTTTGGCAAAACTGTCGTAAAGCATGGTCATGTGACCACAGAATGCAACAAACTAGCAAATGCAGAGCATCTGAAATGTAGTCACATGACCGGGGGGGGACTGTCAGAACTTTGAATCCAGTTGTAAGGACCCCCAGATGGGGTCATCAGAACTTCAAACAATTGCTAAGCGGCTGGTTGTAAGTTGAGTATCTGCAGTTTATTTATTGAATTTGTATGCTGCCCATCTCACCCTGCAAAGCAGCTCTGGGCAGGTTGCCAGAAAATATGAGAATTTGCCTGGCCATGTTGGCTGAATCAGGGTTGAGGAACTTGTGATCCAAAAGATCATGTTGCACTCCAATTCCTAATGGCCTAAATAATGGTGAGGAAACCTGGGAGTTGTAGTTTAGCAACCCCTGCAGGACCTCAAGTTTCCCTTGCTTATTTTGAGTGAAAGTTCTTCCCAAGCTATTTGGCAGGATATTAATTGCACAGCTGCCCTTGTTCTATCACAATGACCAAACGATGCTGTTTAAAATTTTCAGTCCGTTATTTAATATTGGATTTTATTTGCCCAGTGTTTTATTCTGTATTTCAACAGCCTTATATATTGGGTAGATATTTATGGAATTCAGCTTTTAAATAAATAGCAATAGTTTGCCATCAAATTATTTTACAGTTCACAGCCTCCCCCCTTGCAAGGGCTACTTTCACACAAATAGTTGCGCTACAAAGTCTGTTTAGAGCAGCTTGCAAGAGAAAGTCTTTTGTGTTGTTCTTTGACAGTGAAACCAAGGAACTCTTTTTCCTTTCTCCCCTACCCCCCCCCCCCATGCCTTCAGTACTGATGCAGGAGACAGCCCTGTGGGAACCATGAGTGCCACAAACCTGGAGCAACCTCAGGTGATTCCGTCCCAAGGAGATCTCTTGGGTGACCTCTTGAACCTTGATCTGGGGCCTCCAGTGAATGTTCCCCAAGTGTCTTCCATGCAGATGGGTGCTGTGGACCTTTTAGGAGGTGGACTTGATAGCCTGGTGAGTAAGCATGACTTTTGCTGAACATGGACTAAAATTCTTAGTGATATATGTTGTTTAGTTCTATAGTACTCAAAACCAAGGCTGCTGGCAACCTTCTTTCCCTTTATGTTATTGGGATCCAAGTCACTACCACTTGGAGGAGGCAAAAATGTTTGTTTTCTTTTTGCTCTTTTTCTGCTTTGCAGATTACAAGTTATCAAGTTAGATAACTTTACTTGCTTATTTGGGGTATTGCTTTATTTGTTTGTTTGTTTCCTGCCTTTATTATCTTCACAAATACACAGAAAAGATCAGGAAAAAATTAAACGACATTGTGGAAAATGTTTAAGAGGTTCATGGTCTGATCCCTGTGCATCAGCAGAAACGAGTATGGCTGTGTCGTGTTTGTGTTTCTTGCTAGATGTTAGCAGAGAAAAGAGAAGAAAAAATGCTTCTGATTTTTAGCATTAGGTACATGTTTCATACAATATCTAGCATCACCCTTGGCAGCTTTGGTTCATTGTGTCAGTTCCTTATAACAATGAATTGTAACAGAGGCTGTTATTTTGCATAACAGCTGGGAAGCATAAGAACAAAACTAGGGCACAGTATAGACGCATTACATGGAACCATAATATGAGTTGTTTATTGTGCATTAATTCATGGGTGAACCAGTTTTAAGGAAGAAACCATAGTTTATGAACCAAAATTGATCTACTAGCCAGTAACTCTAAGTTTGGAACAAAAACTAGATTATTATTATTATTATAAAAAAATGATTTAACTATAATAACTGTAGTAAATAAATGGAGTTACCATGTTCATTCTGAAAAGATAGACAGACAGATAGACAGACAGACAGACAGATAGAATGTGGCTCTCTTTTTAAAATAAATTTTACCGTTTATTTTATATAAAATCTTTCACAAGTCCAGCTGTCTGAAAATCACTTATAGCCATTAGAATGTTTTATGACTAGACTTTGAATTCATTGTCTATCTATGAATTGTGATTCATAGTCAGTAATTCAAACTAGCTCACAAAGACTTTGGGTGTGTTTGGATTCCTGCAGTATGTCCTACAGAGGTAACTTCTACTTGCGCCTTGTCTGTTCAAAAAAACACTTCATAGTAAATCTGTGAGATCTGGGGGATCATTTTAGAGTTTGCCCCCATGACACATTCTGTCCAGAAATGTTGGGTTAATGGAAAGAGATACATTCAGGGTAGTTCGAGGCAGCACTCTGATCACTCATGGCAGCTTAATAATAAAATTAATGGTTTAATACACGGACAATTCTTTAGTTAAACCTACTATTCCATCAGTTAGCTGTGGCCTGGATACAAGATAAGTGATTGGTGTTTCTCAGGATTGGACAAAAAAACCTAATGACTTTCAATTCCCAACCTCCTCTCCACTACAACAAATGATAATCAACCCCCTTCCACCACCACTAGGCAACTACAGTTAATTATCTATGCATCTCCAAGCATTTTATTTTATAGAGACCTAGGAATTTATTTGCATGTTTAGCACAATGTGAGATTTCCAACAAGTTGATAGTTAGTACCTAGTTTTATGATCTGAACCTTCCTGCATAGGTATTGCAATTCACATTGATGCTTGGACCTCCAAATTTAGCAAGCAAGTTTCAATCTCATATCCACTGCATATGTATAGAATTGCTTGTGCGCTGTCCAGATCCTCTGCAGCAAGGCATTTTGGGTAACCTTTAGCTCTCCAATAAAATCCAACTGTTTCTAAGAAAGTGAGCTAAGGCTTCTCAAACAAGCTTCCAACTGCTTGGGGGGCCCATGCTCCTGAGATTCTTAAGACTTTGAACACAACCTCAGGAATATCTGAGGTTTGGCTTCTGAATGACAGGACTTATATGCTCCATGTAATATTGCAAGATGTTGGCAACACCATAGCAAATATTGGCTCACTTTGATGTGGGTTTTCAGTGGAAACCAGGTCCATAAGGTTTTAGCAGATTTCTGGAATTAAGCCTTATAAGGTGGAACAAATCTGTTCTTGTCAAATGAACCCTCAGAGTAACTGATCCTCAACCTCAGCCCTTCTAGAGTGGCAGCAAACAAAATAGCAAATACCAAACAAAAGAGCAAAAGGAGGAGGAATGCTAGGGGGAGTTTGCAACTTTGTATTTGTCAAGGTATCTGCAGTCTTCCTGGTGTTATACCTAGAAGCTGCCACCACCTCCATTGTGAGAATTTTTGAGGTCTGTGTTCTTTCATCCCTGATAAAAACTAAATTTGCATGCAGTCTCAAATGACTCAGATAGCAGATTTAAAGTTCTTCTACAATTTGCCTCTACATGTCGGGGCAAGCATTTCTATTTCAGCCTGAATTTTGGAGCTGGTAGCTTTCATATTTGAGTTATAATTGGTTTTGTTCAGGAGAAAGATCCAGTCATAAGGGTTTCTACTTGCAGTGTGAAGTAGATAAAATTCTAATCAAAGCTGGCCAGCATGTCTGGCTTTTGTGAAAAGGAGGTTTTGGAGTGTCAGAGTAACTGGAAATAGCTTAAGGCAAGTTTAAGCTGAAAAGAATCTGAATACTTTACAAAAGAAGGAGCTTAGAGTCAAAAGTAGAAATTGCAGCCCACTAGAAGTGACAGATTCAAAGCCCCTAGCAGCTTCAGTCAGCACTGCTAAAAGGGGTTGTAGGACTCGTGGTTCAGCACTTCCTGGAGACTGCATATTTCATCACTTCTAATTTATCCAACCAGCCATCTATGTACCATTTTGATTGCAATCCAGTTCACCTGATACTTGTGGAGTGGAACAAAGCAAAACCTTTCTCATAAAAGATCCAGCCTTCTCTGTACTTTGCCAACTGTTCCCATCCAAAGAACAATACACTAAAAGGACCAGACATCTGGGCTTCCCGATATATTTTGCAAACTTCAAATACATTTACTTCCTGTCACCTTTCACTTTGTCTCAGGACTGTTTTCTGTGTTTATCTTATTTGAGTATTGGAATTTTATGTAACCTCAATTTAGAAATTGAGAAAAGATAATCAAACAACAAATCAGCGAACACCTACAGGCAAACAAAGTCATTACTAAAAGCCAACATGGGTTAGTCAAAAACAGATCATGCCAGACAAACCTTATTGTATTCTTTGACAAAGTGACAAAATTAGTGGACCAGAGGAATGCTGTGGATATAATTCACTTAGACTTCAGTAAGACATTTGACAAAGTAGACCACAACCTACTACTTGATAAGATAGAAAAATGTGGGTTGGACAGCATCACCACCAGATGGATCCATAGCTGGCTGACCGGCCGTACTCAGTGTGTGGTTCTCAATGGAACTGCATCTACATCGAGGGAAGTGTGTAGTGAGGTGCCCCAGGGCTCTGTTCTGGGCCCAGTGCTCTTCAACATCTTCATCAACGATCTGGACGAGGGGATAGATGGGGAACTCATCAAATTTGCAGACAACACCAAGCTGGCAGGAATAGCCAACACTCCAGCAGACAGACTTAGGATACAAGAGAATCTGGACAGATGTGAACACTAGGCGCTATCTAACAAAATGAAATTCAATGGTGAAAAAAGTAAGGTTCTACATTTAGGCAAGAAAAACCAAATGCACAGGTATAGTATGGTGGGTACCTTGCTCAATAGTAGTAACTGTGAGAGGGATCTTGGAGTCCTAGTGGACAATCTTTTAAATATAAGCCACCAGTGTGCTGCAGCTGCCAAAAAATCCAACACAGTGCTAGGCTGCATTAACAGAGGGATAGAATCAGGATCACGAGAAGTATTGATACCACTTTACAATGCCTTGGTAAGGCCACACTTGGAATACTGCATCCAGTTTTGGTCACCACAATGTAAAAAAGATGTTGAGACTCTAGAGTCTAGAAAGAAAACAGAGAAGAATAATAAAAATGATTAGGGGACTGGAGGCTAAAACATATAAGGAACAGTTGCTGGAATTGGGTATGTCTAGTTTAACGAAGAGAAGGACGAGGGGGGACATGATAGCAGTGTTCCAATATCTCAGGGGCTGCCACAAAGAAGAGGGAGTCAAGCTATTTTCCAGAGCGCCTGAAGGCAGGACAAGAAGCAACAGATGAAAACTAATCAAGGAGAGAAGCAATCTAGAACTAAGGAGAAACTTCCTGACAGTTAGAACAATTACCCAGTGGAACAACCTGCCTCCAGAAGCGGTGAATGCTCCAGCACTGGAAGTTTTTAAGAAGAAACTGGACAGCCATTTGTCCAAAATGGTATAGGGTTTCCTGCCTGAGCAGGGGGTTGGACTAGATGACCTCCAAGGTCCCTTCCAACTTTATCATCATCATCATCATTATTATTATTATTATTGGTTTGAAGCCATTCCAATCTGCAAGGAGTAGGAGATCATTTGTGTAATTTAGGGACAATACTGTGGTTCTGTGGAGAGGCACTACTGAAAATAGCATTAGAGGTGTCAAAATGTCAGTTTTTAATATGAAACAGCTGCAGTGATCTGTTCAGAAAGCTGCCAGTGAAATTTCCATGCTAAAAAGAAAGCTGTTGACTGAGATCACTAAAAAGAAAATATTGGCATTTCACCTCTTCTTCTTGCCTAGTAAAATAGGAATAAATCCTATGAAATAATTAAAATTTAAAACCAGGAATTCAGATCCAAAGGGCTGAGGATGACCTGGATGTGGAGGGTGGGGGGAGATTTGCTTCAAATAAAAAAGTAGCAGCAGCCCCTGTAATGCATTTCTGGCCCCCAGTCTGGAAATTTGAACATCTGGATATTGTTTTAATTTAATTTGGAATTAAGCAGGAAGCCATTTCTCCTCTTATCTCTATCTCTATTACCGCCACTAATCCTCATGTGGGGGGGCTGATTTCAGCCTGTATTGTTTTTTATTTTGTGGGGCAGAGATGAGCTTTAAGGTTGAAATTGGGAGCAAAAAGATTTTGGGGATTTAAAGAACTTTGACTTCCAATGTTAAAACTCTTGAAATCAGGCCTAAAATGGTGATTTCAAACAATTTTTCAAGGTTTTGTTTGAGGACCAACTCCCATTCTCATCCTATTGTCCTACAAAACATATACAAGGGGCTGAAAAATTCAATCCAGCCTCTTCTGGTGATGTTACCGCATCACTTCCTTTGGCCTTCCAAAAACTTTGGAGCCTTACTTAAGGGTCCTCATCCCTTACACATTTGGTTACCCATGGGTTATAAAAGCCTCCACGGGTACAAATACCTTTTAATTAATGGAGGTACTGATAAAGATGCCATGCACAACTAAAGTATTTTACAAATGTTATAGACTGCAGGGCAACAAAATCATATACTGTGGAGAGTAAGAAGAAGAGGCAGATGGTTCTTTCAGAAATCAAGACTGGATATGGATGGTGAACAATCATATTTTAAAATATGGTGGGAGTGGGAGTTCTTTGACTTTGAGTACGGTATATGGTGAACATTGCAAGGCCTCTTAAGGTTAGTGGGAGCCAAACATTGGTGCTGTATTAATCATTGACCATTGACTATCTCAAGAATAACAATAACAGCAGCAGCATCCAGAAATACCAAGTTATACAAAAATGACACCAAAACATACATACATACATACATACATACATACATACATACATACATACATACATACAAAAGTTGGGGCACTTCATTTGATTCTTGCACACCCAAAAGCCTTTCTGCTGCCTGCTCCCCATTGTAGGCATTCATATTACCCACTTTTTATTTTATTGACCTAAAAAGTATATAAATTGTAAATAGCCACAAATTCTTATTTAAGTCCTGATCTAGGTTCTGGTTTAGGTACTAGACCACAAACTTGTCAACAGGAGACACTGGATTTCTCTCCTCCCCATTACATCATTTTGCAATTCTTGGGGGAGCAGTGTGTGTTTGTGTTTAAAAGAGAAGGAGCAAGGAAGTATAGGATTGTAAGAGCCAAGAAACCTTGATTTGTATCTTTCAAGGTTGGCTTCCCAGCCTGTGGCTCTTTTAATGAGATAAACTTGGCACAGGAGCTGATGAAAGCAGATAAAAACATCTGGCTCTATTATGTAGAATTATTCACAAGTTGTTTTGATGCTGCTTTATGTAAGAAGCTCACTTGCCAGCTGATGGGGAGACTGCTTCTCCCCCTTCCACTTGACTGAGAAAAATTCCCCAGAGTACCAGAACTTCTCTGCCTCTTGCCTTGTTCAGAATGAATCTGACAGGGGCTTTTGCTTTCCTTACCTTTGCTAGACAAGCCCTGCTTTTCCTGGCTATAACAGGAAAGGGGATAATAACCACCCATGATCATTTCTGCAAGAGGAAGTCATAATGGATGAGTATTCAGGCTATTATCCCACTCCAAAACTGTAGCGTTCAGACTGAAAGAGTGAGAGATCATCTGTTTTCCATCAAGCCATAACTGTCCTTCCATGAGTCTGATACTGGTACAGATTGCTGTCATTTTTTAATGGGGTCTGAGAGCACAACTCTGTTTCTTTCTAAGACAGTGTCCTTTTCCTTCCCCATTGCAGCTTTTCATCAAGAGTCAATAGCCTTTTCCTGTTAGTGGGCACAATTATGTAATCTTATATGGTGGTGTAGGTGCTAATTGTAAAACATTTTTTTTAATTTTAGAAAATCAATTAAAAAATTTAAGATGCCCCAGGTTTTATTAGGTCTTATGGGAAAACACTCATCTTGAAATATTTGCTAGTGTTTTAATACTTTAGTCAGTTCACTTAAAAAGAAATTATCTGAACAAATATGTGCAGGTGGACACAGTCTACTGTTCTGCAGGTGCTATGGCATCCTGAGATGCCACATTACCAATTCCTGTCCATGTCTGTGGTAATTCAAATCCTGTTCAAAGGAAATATATTGTATTAGCGTGACATATTAGAATGGTCCTTGTTTGCTTGTATTTCAGTGGACATCCGAGGCTGTGTGAAAGTACATGCAATCTTTTGATTCCTTATCTGTTTGTTTTCTGAAGCCATTGTCTCTGAAAAAGAACAGCCAACTATAGTAAATTGTCCGCTTTTTCTACATTTGACCTATTTCCCATTTTGTAGATTTAAGCATAAAAATCACAAATAGCTGATATTAGGCTAGAAAATGAGTCTCATAACACTACAAAAAAAGTAGCCCAACCCCATATGCCAAATACAAATTTAATCCATCTTTGGGATTTTTAATAATCTTCTAAATCAGTGTTTTTTAACCGTGGCAACTTACATCTTAAAGAAATCACCACTTGTTTATTTAAAAGCAATGCAGAAGTTGCTTATTCCCTAAAATGTGAAAATGCTGCCTCCTTGATTTTGTTATAAAAATTATGAACTCAAAATTGAACAATTTGATGTACTATCATCTTGAATTGTAAGATTGCTTTTCATATTACAGCAGTTCTCATTTCTACTTGGTTACATTCCCCCCTTTTGAAGGAATAGGGGTTAATGTTTTATTCTTTGGAGGGGGGAATATAGTGTTTATTAGAGTGGGTGGGTGTAACTTTCAGCAAGCATCTATGAGCAAAGCTAAATATATGTTCCATATCTTGAGTGCTTGGTTTTGTTCTGTTGGGTAATTGTTCAGAGAGCTGCCAGAAATAGAAAATCACATGATACCCATTCAAACAACCTCCACTTTAGGGTGAAAATGCTGTGCATATATGTCAGTTTATTTTTGGCCCATCTTTTTGCTTTTGTGGACTCTTTGCTCTCAGAACATCAATGGGCTGCTGACGTTGGAGACCAGGAACATTGGTGGGCAGGCAGGGAATGGCAAGAGGCTGCTCTGAAACTGATCCACACATGTTCAGAAGAGCTGTTCATATCCACCCCATTCCCTTGCCTCTATATTGCAAGTATGAATAGGTCTACAAAGGCAAAGAAAGAGGACCACTAATATTGCTCCTCTAGTGCTGACAAAAGCCCTGGCTCATGGTAGGTCTGAGAAAAGTAACCATGGCTGTTTGTGAAGAGTGGGGACAAGGCTGAGGGCAATTTGGCTTTTTAGAAAGCAAGTTTTCAAATTCACGCATATCTAGGTCACAACTGCTGCCTTCTGCTGCCCACAAGGCCTTGGTGCATATTCTTGTGCTTTCAACCAAATCCCACTTTCCTGCCTGTGGAATTTGGGGGTTTCAAATCTGTGGATCTCTCTATCCTTCCTGGGTCAATAATCTCTCTGGGCAAACAGATGGGGGACAAGCAGTGTGCCAGGCCTTTTTGGGAACCACATGATCTTTATTTCTTGGCACCTGATAACTTGGCTGTAATGAACTCTTTCTCTTTCCCCTGCCTTTTCTCTTCCTTTTTTGCCTCTCTCTCTCTCTCTCTCTTCCTTTTTCTATTCTTTTCTTTCTTGCAGCTTGGCAGTGACCTTGGCGGGGGAATTGGAGGCAGCCCAGCAGTAAGTGCCCTCCATTTTTTTTCCTTTTCAGTTCTGATTGAAAAATTATTATTTATTTGTTGAATTTATATCCCATCTTTCCTTCAGGAAGAGTATTGGCACACATAGTATTTTCTCCATCAATTTTATTCTCACAACAGACCTATGAAAGCTTTGTAACCAGGCTTTATGTTGGCCAATATATTTCAGAATTAACTGGGGATTTGAAAACAGGATCTCCCATCCTGCAACTTTAACTACTAAAATGCTACAGGCTTTCACTCGGTAGCCTTCTTTTCCCATCCATTCTTCTAAAATCTGTGCAGCTGAAATAGCCCAATGTTAGACATTCTCAACATGTTCTCTTGATTAAAGCAGACAACCATCTAAAACACTGAAATAGTAGAAAGAAAATAGAAGACAATTTGGGAGCAAGCTTGACTTGTAGAATAGTCAAAAAATTTGGAGCTCTGTTACAGGGGAGATCTGAGATCACAATATATTTTTCCATGTGAAGTAGATGCATCATTGCTTGCTTGTAGAAAAAAAATAGAGAAACAAGGAAAACAAGCTAAAGAATGCCCAGGGTTTGTGCCAGATACCAGAGTCATTTATAAAAACCTACTTTTAGGTTTGGCTTGGTCCCAGAGCTCCATAAACCTATAAATGGAAAACATAAGGCTTCCAGAGCCCCAGCTATTGGTGAGAAATTCCAGACAATTTTAAAGTCATTGGATGAACTAGAACTGGTCAACTCATATTCCTAATTTCCAAGAGTCATCAATAGCTGTGGATTACTATTGTCCTTGGAGCAAAGAGTTTTCTCTTCTTAAAATGGACTTGAGGACCTTGAGACTTCTGGATGATCAAAGGATCCATTTTGAAAGCACCAGGTTTGAACCCATTTCACTGCATGATTGCTAAGGGCTTGGTTATGACTGAGAATTCCTTATGGAGAGTTCACTCACCATCGTATGTTACAGTTCCTCATCTTTAACTGATGTGGAAGTTGAATGTCCTTGCCTTCACTCTTCAAAGACTTTTGGAGAAGAGAGGTTTGCGGTTAGTGGCTGCTTCAGTCATGTAGTGATGCATAGAGGAGTGGGTATTTAAAGCAGAGAGCATACCAGCATGTCAATTTAGTACCCTTGATCATTCAGCAAGATGCTAGGAACAGGTTGTAAAATATTCAGAATATTGTCCAATTTTATGTTTTATTTAATATAAGTGTCTTATGTACCACCTGTTTAAATGTCATCTCTTGATTGCTTGCAGGTGGGGCAGACCTTCATCCCATCATCAGTCCCAGCAACATTTGCTCCCTCACCTACCCCAGCTGCAGTCAGCAGTGGACTGAATGACCTCTTTGAACTCTCTTCCGGCATCGGCATGGCACCTGGTGGATATGTGGCTCCCAAGTCGGTATGTGTGAGGAAACATGGCCAGAGAGCTGTTTCCTTTTGCCAAAGTTGTCTCTTCATCAGGTTGTTTTGTTTTTTGGCATGCCTCTCTTTTGTGTTTCACACTGACTTTGTTTCTGGATGAACAACGGTACCTTTTGCTCTGTTTGGCCTGACAAACTTCTGCACCCATTATTAGAGAATGCATATTTTATTTACCTGATTAATTGATTAAGCATTTTATACTGTCATACTTTCTAAAGCTTTAGTTCCAGATCTGGTACCTTTTCCTTTTCCCAAAACTTTAACTAGATTCTCAAACCACTCTGGAAATCTCTACCAAATTGAAATGTTCAATGTGATATAAAATTGAATGTATTTGATAAATGAATCAATGCCATTTCAGTCCCATACCCTAATCCTGACTGAAAGGGATCTGTTTCCTCCCCTGAAACTGTAGTAACCACCTTCTTCATAACCTTCCACTAAAAGAGAAGATTGGAGAGTAGATAAAAATTGTCCAATTCCACTGAGTCTAGTGAGCACTTCTTGAGGAGGGAGTTAACCACTGCAGATGGAGGGGCAACCCCCCCCCCACTGCTTCTTTAAGAATTCACAATTAAAACTCAGCTGCACATCACCTCCCAGGAGCCTTTAGCTTACTTTACTTAGATTATATTATAATGAATATCTTTGAAAACTTTCCATCAAATTCATTTAGTACCACAGTGAAAAGGTTTAAGTGAAACTAGGATGGTAGTTCTGTTTCTTTATTTTGTTATGGTGTGCAGTATGCTGGCTGGGGAATTCTGGAAACTGAAGTCCACACATCTTCAGGTTGCCAAGTTGCCAATTACAGCATGCTATTTCCTCTTTAAATTCCCTTCTTTTACTGCCAATTTATTGGGAACACTGTTCAAAATGCTGTAATGGATTTTGAGACATTTCCTCTCCAGCTTTTCTAAATCAGCTGGAAAGAATCTACACTACCATCTGAGATTCAATCATCATTATATACCGATAAATAAAAAGGTGTGAAGTGGATAGGCCGAATAGGTCACTCAACATTACTGCCTATCATAATAAAAAAATCTCACTGAAATTATTCTGACACTTTATGAGGCCATGTTTGCTTGCTCTAATTGCCAATCCTATTCACTTTATAGGTCTGGTTGCCGGCTGTGAAAGCCAAAGGCCTGGAAATTTCTGGAACCTTCGGCCATCGGCAAGGACATATCTACATGGATATGAGTTTCATCAACAAGGCTCTTCAACACATGAGTGACTTTGCCATTCAGTTCAACAAGAACAGGTTAGTCCTTGAAATCAACTAAACACACTTTTTTGCTGCATGCTTTATCTTTCTTGGCTTCTCTGTTGAATGTTACACCTTCTTTCATCTCTCTCCTCCCCAATCATCCAGCTTTGGAGTCATCCCCAGCACCCCACTGGCCATTCACACTCCTCTGATGCCAAATCAAAGCATTGATGTTTCGCTTCCTCTCAACACCTTGGGCCCAGTCATGAAAATGGAACCTCTGAACAATCTTCAGGTAAGAACACTGGGTTTGGGGAGATAGAGGAGATTTGCATTTAATAATAATAATAATAATGTTGGAAGGGACCTTGGAGGTCATCTAGTCCAACCCCCTCGCTCAGGCAGGAAACCCTATACCATTTCAACAAATGGCTGTCCAGTCTCTTCTTAAAAACTTCCAGTGTTGGAGCCTTCATAGCTTCTGTGGGGCAGGTTGTTCCACTGATTAATTATTCTAACTGTCAGGAAATTTCTCCTTAGTTCTAGGTTGCTTCTCTCTTTGGTTAGTTTCCATCCGTTGCTTCTTGTCCTGCCTTCAGGTGCTTTGGAGAATAGTGTGACTCCCTCTTCTTTGTGGCAGCCCCTGAGATATTGGAACACTGCTATCCTGTCCCCCCTCGTCCTTCTCTTCATTAAACTAGACATACCCAATTCCTTATATGTTTTAGCCTCCAGTCCCTTGATCATCTTTGTTGCTCTTCTGTGTACTCTTTCTAGAGTCTCAACATCTTTTTTTCATCGTGGTGATCAAAACTGGATGCAATATTCCAAGTGTGGCCTTACCGAGGCATTGTAAAGTGGTATTAATACTTCACGTGGTCTTGATTCTGTCCCTCTGTTAATGCAGCCTAGCACTGTGTTTCCTTTTTTTGGCAGCTGCAGCACACTGCTGGCTCATATTTAAGTGATTGTCCACCAGGACTCCAAGATCCCTCTCACAGTTGCTACTATTGAGCAAGGTACCACCTATACTATACCTGTGCATTTGGTTTTTCTTGCCAAAATGTAGAACCTTACTTTTTTCACCATTGAACTTCATTTTGTTAGATAGCACCCAATGTTCAAGTCTGTCAAGATCCTTCTGGAGTGTTGGCTATTCCTGCCAGTTTAGTGTCGTCTGCAAATTTGCTTGGTGTCGTCTGCAAATTTGTAGAGTTCCCCATCTATCCCCTCATCCAAATCATTGATGAAGATGTTGAAGAGCACTGGGCCCAGAACAGAGCCATGGGGTACCCCAATACATACTTTCCTCCATGTAGATGCAGTTCCCTTGAGGACTGCACGCTGAGTATGGCCAGTCAGCCAGCTACAAATCCATCTGGTGGTGATGCTGTCTAACCCACATTTTTCTATCTTATCAAATAGTAGGTTGTGGTCTACTTTATCAAATGCCTTACTGAAGTCCAAGTAAATTATATCCACAGCATTCCTCTTGTGTACTAATTTTGTCAAAGAATGCAATAAGATTTGTCTGGCATGATCATTATCTTTTCCAAGATCTTCCCAGGTATTGAGGTCAGGCTGATAGGTCTGTAGTTTCCTGAATCCATTTTCCCCCCTTTTTTGAAGATGGGAACTACATCAGCTCTTTTCCAGACTCTTGTAGTTCCCAGTGCTCCAGGATCTTTGAAATATATGGTTCAGTGGTTCTGAGATCACATCTTCAGAATCTTGGGGTGTAGTCCATCTGGTTCTGGTAATTTTAATACAAATTAAAATTAAAAGTTAGGGGTGGAAGCAAAAGTGGCTGAATAGTCAAGAAACTGTCAAATGATGTGGTGATGGAAGTTTTTTTTCTTATAAAACAAGAAGCTGTAGTTGGTACAAAACAATTTAGCTTCAGGCAAACTATGCAGTTCATACAAATAAAATAAAGCAATTTGGTGTATCACATATAAATACTTTATGGACTTCATTATAGCAATGATCAGTATATGAAAAGGCTTTTAAAAATTAGATATTCTGGTTAATTTACCTAATTTTATATTAGAATTTTCTTAAAATATGCAGTTTGGTGGTGCATGATGCTATGATATAAGGATTGGGTCTGCGTATCATCTAAACCAAAAAACAGATTGTGTTGTGACTTAGCTTCTGAGATGACTGAATTTTATGGGCAGATAGGGATTACATATTCTCCTGTGCAACATTTCTGAAAACTGGTGGGATTTATTTATTTATTTATTTATTTATTTATTTATTTTTATGTATTTATTTATTAATTATTCAGTTTGTATGGCTGCTCATCTCAGTGACTCTTGGCAGCGAACGATCTTAAAAGAAATTAAAAACAAAGTTCCAATTTGCTCTGCCTATTCCACATCTTTGCCTTAACTAAGCAACAGGCTCCCGAGTTGATTCTGGTACTGTAATAAATAATAGCCTTCTACACAATGGTTTCTATTCCAGTATACAGGCAAACTGTGACTCCTTCACTTCACTTCCCCCTCCCAGCACTCCTCTAATAATCTTCCCATGGTATCCCCAACAGGGAAGCTTATTAACCATAAAAAGCACCATTTTCTTCAGCAGTTCTGTCCTGTGTGTTATGAATGATAGGCAGCTAGAAATAGTGCTGCCTTGATATGGAAGCTCCCGGTTGGCGTTGAGAACAAGAGAGATGCAGTATGTAGCTGCTTTTACAGAGGCAGGGAGTTTGTGAGCCAGAAACTTCTTAACTGGGAAAATAAAAACATAAAACAGCCTCCAGTTTCACTTCTCTATATATTCAGACCAAGTGAATATTTTTACTTACTTATTTAACATGAGTGCTCTTCTGGTTTTATTTTTAGAAACCCAACAGATTAAATGTTATCTACATATCCTCCATATTCAGAAACATTCTATCTCCAGTTGTTATTGGAGAAGAAGATAGCAGGAGGGTATTTTTTAAGGCTGTGTTCTAACAAGGAACTGGATGGTGGGCTGCAGAGCCTCCAGTCTGAGCCCGTAGATGAACTCTTAGATTTGTGTTTATTTTGTCACATAAAATCTGAATATTTATAAGCTTAACCAAACATTTACATAGCAGGTGCCTTCAAAGATGCTATGGGTGAAAACTCTTTGTAATAAAATAATATTTGGGACCTTTGGTCAAAGCCTGGAAGACTTCCAGGCAGAGCATATTCCAAAGTGTGGGGCTATCACTGAAAAGTACCGACTCTTTAGTACGTACCCCCTGCGCTTCACAGCTTTTGAGACTATATTTGGATTCATGCTTGGCAAGACAGCCCATGATGTATCCCTACTATGCAGTATTGGCCTAAGAGATGATCCCCCTGTAGGTTGAATTGGGGCTGGAATCTTACTGACAGTGCAGTGATCTCAAATTAAGGAAGTCCTTGACTTACAACCGCAACTGGGACCGAAACCTCCATCACTAAGTGATATGGTTGTTGAAGTGAATAATCGCGTGACCGTGTCCAATTTTACAATCTTTTTTGCTACATCCGTTAAGCAAATCCAGCTTTTCTCATTTGCTTGTTGGAAGCCAGTTGGGAAGGTTGCAAATGGCAATCCCATGACCCTGGGTGTTGCAGCTTTCATAAATGCATGCTAATTGCCAAGCATCCAACTTGCCATCATATGACTACAGGGATGCTGCAGTGGTCATAAGTGTGAGGGCCTGTTGTAAGTCATTCTTTTCAGTGCCACTGTGACATTGAAAGGTCACTGAACAAATGGCCACAAATCAAGGACTATCTATAGGGAGTAATTCTACAGTATTTCTCCAACTGAAAGTCTGACCAGTATTCCCTGCAAGTTGTAGCTTGCAGTTCATTTTCAAAGACAAAGCAGTCTAATAATATGGCAATCAGGGCTTCCTGATGTAAGGATGACCACAACTGGCACATCAGCCACAAGTAGACACAAAGACTTCTCTGGCTACAGCTTCCACTGCCCATGAAGATCCCCAGTTCATAAATCAGTGCTTTCAGGGGAAGCACGACTCCATCAAGATTGCCCACGTGGGCGATGTTTCCAGATAGTTCAGCTACTTTTGCAGAAACAGCAACTCTACTTGGTAGGTTTTATTCCCTCCCACCCCCCCCCCCCCATTCAGTCCCAGGATATAAGTAAATGAATTAGAAATAAATGTGACAGAGCTGTCTTCCTTAGTGGAGTAGTATGAAAGCAGGGGAAGTTTTCAGTAAGAATTTGGATGGAGCCCAAATATATCCATTATGGTGATTTGTTTCCTTAGGTGTTACGCTATTTATCTGAAGATGTTGCAAGCAGATACAGAAGTTAAAACCAAGCCACATGCTGGTTTAGCTGACTGTGTCTCTCCAGGAAGTCCTTGTTCAAGAATTCTGTGTTTTGGATGGAATTAGTTGCTGTCAAGCAGAAGAACTCAGAAATGTCATTGTTACTGAAGAATCTGTTAATGATAGAAGAATTTTCTGTTCCCATTTGTCTTTTTTTTTTTTTAAATCCCCTCTGAAAAGGCAGCTTGTGATGTAGCTGATTCAGCTTCAAGAGAATTAACATGTGCAGAAGCAATTCTGTGGAAAGGAATGTAGATATTTAAATATTTTATCCCTTTTGCCCTTTTTCTACTCTTTTCCTTTCTCCTCATTTTCTTGCCATCCTTTATTATCACTGGGCAGATCTGGGATGGGAAAGCAACACCACAAAGTTTGTATTTCCCTTCATGATGTCCTTGGCATCATTCACATGTTCTGCATTAGAGCTGGATTGAATTAATGTGACATATTTCTTGAATGTCCATCCATCCCCTCTTGCAGGCAGGGACAGGAGACAGAGGTTTCTCTCTCCCTCTCCCTCCCTCCCTCCCTCCCTCCCTCCCTCCCTCCCTCTCTCTCTCTCTCTCTCTCTCTCTCTCTCTCTCACACACACACACACACACACACACACACACACAATGTGCTATGAAATCATTTTCAATTCTAACAATAATATGGAAAATGTTTTTCATGATAGACTTTCTGGTCTTCCAATGACGTACCCATCAGCAGTATAACTGAATCCATCCAGTTGGTGCCTAAAAAAGAGGAGCAAGAAATGCAATGTTTTCATGCAGTAATCATCACAGAGAGATTTGCATGTAGCTGGCTGTGGCATCCCATTGGAAGAAAATACAAGAAACTATTGTCTTAGTTTCTTTCTCTGGCAAAACAAGTACTAGATAGATGAGGGATATTGAAACTATTCTCAGAGCATATAAGAATTCCTTGGAAACTAGTCTAGTTTACTTTTTGTAATATTATGGCTGTAGACCACTCAAAACACAATCTTATGGTACATCCAATACTTATAAGTTACTCTTGTTTATGACAGCATAATAGTTGAGCTCCATCCCTGTGGAAATTTCCTGGCTCCTTGCTTTCTGTTTTTTAAAGTATAGTAGTAAATTGGCTTACCAACTTGTTAATAAAGTTGGAAAAAGCAAAGTCATAATTGAAAAGTAGAAAATAATGCCATCTCAAATTCAGCAGTGGAGAAAGGACAGTTGATTTGTTACTCATAAAAAATGAGTGTGTTGTATCTTTACTCAAAATTAAGGGAAACTAAAATCTAGAAAAATAATGTAATTAGAAGTCTGACATTAAAAAACGCATTTGACAATCTTAAATAAAACTATATAATAATTATAATAATAATAGTAATAATAGTAATAATAATAATAAAGTTGGAAGGGACCTTGGAGGTCATCTAGTCCAACCCCCTGCTCAGGCAGGAAACCCTATACCATTTCAGAGAAATGGCTGTCCAGTCTCTTCTTAAAAAGTTCCAGTGTTGGCACATTCACCACTTTTGGAGGCAGGTTGTTCCACTGGTTAATTGTTCTAACTGTCAGGAAGTTTCTCCTTAGTTCTAGGTTGCTTCTCTCCTTGATTATTTTCCATCCATTGCTTCTTGTCCTGCCTTCAGGCACTTTGGAGAATAGCTTGACTCCCTCTTCTTTGTGGCAGCCCCTGAGATATTGGAAGACTGCTATCATGTTCCCCCTTGTTCTTCTCTTCGTTAAACTAGACATACCCAATTCCAGCAGCTGTTCCTTATATGCTTTAGCCTCCAGTCCCCTAATCATCTTTGTTGCTCTTTTCTGTACTCTTTCTAGAGTCTCAACATCTTTTTTACATCATGGTGACCAAAGCTGGATGCAGTATTCCAAGTGTGGCCTTACCAAGGCATCGAAGAGTGGTATTAATACTTCACGTGATCTTGATTCTATCCCTCTGTTAATGCAGTCGAGCACTGTGTTGGCCTTTTTGTTGATCCCAAACGATTAAAGCTGTAAAAACTTTTAATAGTGACATTTTAGGTCCAATATTAAAAATATTTACACTAATCTTATTCTGATTTTAAAGATGTAGTAGTTGCTTTCTAATGCTTTACCCCTTCATCTTTTATAATTCATCTTGCAAATCTGTTGTCTAAGGATACTCAGATTCAGTCCCCAAAATAATAGTATCCTGAAGATCTTGCCATAATAAAAAAAGTCTTGCAAACCTAGACTTCTATGCAGGATTGTTCAGGATTTCCTTGGCAATTGCCTTTACTATAGGCAGGAAAAGCTTCTGGATAGCAGACACTTTGAAAACTACTGAAACGTGTTTGACTAAGGCAGTCAAAAGGGATAAAAAGCTGTTCTTGAAAGCTCTTGTGAAGCACTTGGCAATTTGAACATGAGCTCATGGGGCAACAAAAGGTGTCTTAGGGAGAGTGGCTTAGAGCTGATTGTAGCATGTAAGGCTGGATGTGCAAATCTATCTTGTCACTTAGTTACATTTACTTAACAAAGAGTTGCATGGGGAATGAAACAATATCTTGGGTTTTAAACCTCTTGACTCAGTATATCTTTTGCATTGGTTTTCTTGTATAATTCTGCCTATTCCACAATGCTTTTTCTAGACTAGTGTTTCTCAATTTCAGCAGCTTTAAGATGTGTACACTTCAACTCCCAGAATTCCCTCAACACAATAGATGGCTTGGGAATTCTGGGAAATGAAGTACACACATAGCAAGAGCACTTAGACTTATATACCATTTCATAGTGCTTCACAGCCCTCTCTAAGTGGTTTACCAGAGTCAGCAAATTGCCCCCAATAAATTGCCCCTCACATTTTACTGACCTTGGAAAGATGAAAGACCAAGTCAACCTTGAGCCAGTCAAGATCGAACTACTGGCGGTCAGCAGAGTTAGCCTGCAATACTTCATTCTAACCACTGCACCACCACGGCTCTCTGCTGTACCACCATGGCCACATGTTAAAACCACTGCACCATCACGGCTCTCTGCTGTGCCGCCACGGCCACATGTTAAAGTTGCTGAGATTGAAGAACACTGCTCTAGACTACTTACAGATATTTTCAAGTCCCCTTACTGCCTGGCTTTCCATTGAGAATGACATAGTTGCAATCAAAATCAGAACAGCTTAAACTCGATTTGAGGCAGGTTCGGTAAAATCATGGTGAAATCATTGTCAGTACTGATATTGGCAGAGCTATTAAATCCATAGTATATACCAAGTTGATGGTTTAATGACCTTTTTTGGCAGTATAATTTTTCAGGTTTCTAGATGTAAAGCTCAAAATGACTGTAAATGTATATTTTGTGTACTACAACTACCAAATTGAAAGTGGGGTTGAGCTGAAAATGTTGACTCCCTGTTCCAGTGTTGTCACCATATCATTCTTTCTCTTGCTGTCCGAAGCCTAAATAATTAATTAAAACACATCTTGAAGGAAAAACCTGCATGGCCCTACATTAAAGAGGTTCAGATTTACCAGCTTTCTTTTAGTCTGCAGGAGAATATTTTTGCCCTGTCTCTTAGCCGAGACTCAGAGAAAACGGATGCATTCAGAAGCAGCCAGAAAAGAACCAACTTGCAGCCTCCATGAAGGAATTAATTAGCAGGCTGTGCTTTACTGATTCCAAATAAATCCTGACATACTGATTCAGGATTATTTGAAAAATAAACATTGTTTTCCTTCTACTTGTCTTCCAATCATGTCTGAATGCCAGGTTCTACTCTTTCTATTGCTGCTGGGTGCCCAGAACACTCATCAATGGCAAGGAACAGAAAACTTTGGATGCCAATTTAGACATCCTGTCAAAGACCTTGAGGTTGGAAAAGATATAGACGGGCTTCCTCTCAGCACTTCCAGATTCAATCCTTACAAAATCCGGGCTGGCATTCTGAATGTTTATTCGTAACCCTCTTCCAAGCTGGAGATCTTGGATTTAATTATGCAGCCATTGCTGTATACATGTGATAATGCTAAGTATGCTGATGCTCTTCAGCGCCTCTGCCCAGTTCAGGATGATCTTCTAAAATGCGCTCACGTGTAAATGTGGTTTCCTCGGGTCAGAATTAATAACTCTAAGTTAATTCTGATACAGGTTACATAGCAAATGTCAAGTAATAGATTATGACAGTTACCTAAATGTCATCTGGCAACATTCCTTGCCTTACAACTGGGAAGTGGGAAAGCTAAGTCTGCTTTTCTTTTCTTTTCTCCTTTCTTCTTTTCTTTTCTTTTTTTTAGTATTTTAAAATTCTTTAGCTCCAAATACTTGCCCAGATTCCAGACATTTTTTTCTAACTTCGGCATTTTAAAGAATGTATGATTGTTTTTGTGTATATTCATACAAACAATATAAAATGCAAGTCCCTTTTTAATGTACTTGAGTGTATCTGAGGAAATGGATCATCATGCAAGGCCTATATGTATAGAAGGGTTTCTGCAGCAAGCAAGTAAGCTTGGGGTTTAATTGCTCTGAATTATTTGAATGAAATAATAGCAGTGCTTGGCTGTGAAAGTTGAACCATAAGAAAGGCTGAGAGCAAAAGAATTGAGGCCTTTGAACTATGGTGCTGGAGAAGAGTCCTGCGAGTCCCCTGGACTGCAAGGTGATCAAACCGGTCAGTCCTAGAGGAGATCAACCCTGACTGCTCTTTAGAAGGCCAGATCCTGAAGTTGAAATTCAAGTACTTTGGCCATCTAATGAGAAGGAAGGACTCACTGGAGAAGAGCCTAATGCTGGGAAAGATTGAGGGCAATACAAGAAGGGGATGACAGATTGAGGTGGGTGGATGGAGTCATTGAAGCAGTAGACATGAGCTTAAATGGACTCCAGAAGATGATAGAGGACAGGAAGGCCTGGAGGAACGTTGTCCATGGGGTCGCGATGGGTCAGACACGACTTCACAACTAACAACAACAACAAATAGCAGTGCTATTTGAGGGATTGGCCTTCCCCACCAGGAAGGGGTTTTGTATTTTTATTTATTTATTTATTTATTTATTTATTTATGCCATACTGACATTTTTAAAATCCTTTTAGGAATTAGGGTGGAGAAATTGTCTTTTTTTCTTTTAAAAAATAGCAAATTTGTTTTTCTCTTTTGGGGCAGGTGGCTGTAAAGAACAACATTGATGTTTTTTACTTCAGCTGTCTTATTCCCCTCAATGTGCTTTTCGTAGAAGATGGCAAAATGGGTAAGTGGTGTATCTGTTTACTAATAAGCCCTGAAGGAATTAAAGTCTGCCCTTCTACAATAATTGGGCTAAGTGGAGGCAGGATATTTGGATCTGAAAAACTTTATTTTCACTCCTGCCCAATTTTGGCTAGGATGAGAGCAATCTCTTCTCCCAGGTCCCATCTTCAGATTATAATTCATGAAGACATGGAGGACTTTTTATATTATATACATTTACATGGCCGCTCAATTGACCTGTGACTCCTGATGGCTAGGAATCCATAAAAAACATAACAAATGTTAAAAATAAATTATTTATTTGTTTATTTGTATCCTGCCTTTATTATTTTTACAAATAAGATGGCAAATATATCCAACACACCCTCCTCCTCCTGTTGTCCCCACAACAACAACCCTGTGAGATGAGTTGGGCTGAGAAACGGTGACTGGTCCAGCTGGCTTTCATGTCTAAAGCGGGATTAGAACTCAATTTCATGCTTGGTGGTCTGGTGCCTTAATCACTAGACCAGTGGTTCTCAACCTTTTTAACGCCGCGACCCCCAACCGGTCGTAAGTCGAGGACTACTCAACTGATGCAGCACCGTTTGCAGAATGGGACTTTTGGTGGGCTCAGCAGGGCAGAGACAGCCTGGACAATTCCTATTGGCTTTTGAAAGCCAATAGAATTAGACTCTATTCAAGAGAATCTATTCTATTGGCTTTCAAAAGCCAATAGAATAAAAGGGAGTAGCACAGCTAAGGAAAAGGGGGGGGGGAAAATGGTGGACTGTGTTGTTTGGTGACCCCCTGTGAAATGGTCGTTCGACTCCAAATAGGGTCCCGACCCACAGGTTGGGAACCACTGCACTAGACCAAACAGGCTCTCAGTAAGCTAAAAAAAACAATGTGTCTCTGGATGAAAGCCAAATAACAATCACATACAGGAAGTCCTCAACTTAGCAATTGTTCAAAGTTGCTATAGATTTCTCCCCCCCCCCCCGCAAAGCTAATTACGACCCAGTTTCAAAATTATAGCTGCTGCAGCACAAGTACAACATTTGGGTAGATTCAGCCTATGACCGACCATATCACATCCCATCAGGTCCCCACAGGCCTTTTCCACTCTATACTCTCCTCCTGAAGCCCCCACCCCTGTCATCAATCACTCACTTTCCTTTTGTAGATCTCTGGAACTCCAGAGCTTGTGTTGGAGAAAGGAAGCAAACCACTTCATCCCGCAACATCCCTAGTTGCATGGTGCCATCTCACGAATTGTGGCCACTTCAAAAATGGCGCTCTGAAGGGATACTGAGGGGTGGAACAGTCTGTTCCCCTTCCCCATTGCAATCTCTGGAGATTTACAAAAGATATGCTGGAAGAGAGTGCTCTTGTTAATATTTGGGATGCTGCATAAATCTTCATTTAGCCCTAAAAGTGTGTGTATGTGTGTGGGGGGGGGGAGTCTCAAACAACTGTAGAAATATGGAAAACTCAGTTTTATAGTTTCTAATCCTGTAGAACGACAAGTTTTCCTCGCAACATGGAAAGACATCCCAAATGAAAATGAACTTCAGTTCCAAATTAAAGAATGTCATCTGAATGCTGGTAAGTTGAATTTTTTTTTTTTTTTTTGAAAAATATCTCTATAGCTTTGCCTAAAACTGCCAGTTTTGATTTGTGACTCATGATTTGGCATGAAAATAGCTGCTCTTTGGGTTTGGTGTAGCACTTCCTATGTCTCATGTTCAACACGACTTTTATGTCACATTGTGCCCCATGGATATGGATGGATTCCAGTGGGAGTTTAAGGAGTTTCCTAGTGATTGGGGGAATTGGGGGCAGTTCCTTTGGTTCTCTGGTTGACCACTGGCAACAATGGCTGATCCAAGCTCCTGACAAGATCATGCTCAACCAGACTCTTTTTGTTCTTCAATCATGGGTAGCTCCTCAAGAGGTGCAGCACTAGAAGTTATACCTAAAGAACAGGTAGAGAAAGGTGATTAAAAAAATGATACAAATTTAAGTTTGAACCTATATCATATCAGTAAGGGAGATGAGTATATTTCTTCTCCTTTAATTGCTTTATTGGGAGGCAGTCCAGCAGCCTATTTAGGATTGAAAACTTCCTGTTGGAGATAGTTGAGTAGGAAGATCTGCTGGGCTGTGTTTATTGTGTGCACAACACTTTCATAAAGTCCCTCAGATTTGTCAGAACCTTGAAGTCTAATGTAATGATTAGAATGTTATCTTGTGTCATTAACTGAGTTTCTTTTTGGCCTATGGATTCCAATTGGTAGATAGAGTTAATATAACTTTTGCCACCTGTGCTATGAGTCCATGTCTCTCCTGGTTGTTTAGGAGGCAGGGGAATGTGTCAAGATTACAGCCTTGAAAGAGGCTGTGCTTCTCCTATTCCTCAAGAGACCTTCCTTGTATTCAGCCATATTGGACAACTGTAAACCTGTCAGCCTTTCCTTGGAAAGTCAGCTGCAAAGGGCTCTAGAGAAAATGCATTATCTGAATCCTTTCAGGCCATGGTTAAATGACTTGTTGGAACCTGAATGGGGGAAAGCATCTTTTCCTACCCTATTATACTTCTCAGTGGCTTTCAGTATTATTGATTATGGTATCCTACTGGACCACTTGCTTAGGTTGAAGATGAAAGTAGTTTTGCAATGGCTCAATTGGTTCAGTTCAGTGGCCACACATCTGATGTGTCACAGAGTTCAGGTTTTCACCCCTATTATTTATGACCTGGGAGAGATCATACTTCTGTTCAGGATGCAGTAACATCAATGTGTAGAAATGTACATTAACTACCCCATGCTGGTTCAGTGATGCGGTGCTGGTCTTGTCTCGGTGTCAGGAGAATGAGAGGGTCTGGATGGGAAGTAATAAACTGAAGTTAAATATTAGCAAGATATTTGATCTATCATGATTCCTCTTGTCTCTCAAAAGGAAGACCACCCCTGGGAGACCAGATTTGAGACTTGGATAATATCCTAAGTTGGGGTAGAATGAGTAAGTGAAGGCAGTGGCCAGGAGGACCTTCACCTAGTTTCTTCATCAACTGCAATCTTATCTAGGCCATAATGATCTTACTACAGTAATACATGTCCTCATTGCTACCTGTCTAAACTGCAATGCATTCTAAAATAGTGAGAAACTGCAATTAGTGCAAAATGCATATGATCATAGACTGACACATTGTAGCTGTCAGAATGTATAACATCAGTGTTGCCTGTCCTACATTGTCTTTATGTAGGTTTTGATGTGCAATTCAAACTGATGATTTTGATCTATATCTCTTGGCATGTAGTTGCTTACTGGACCACGTGTTTCAACCAGAATTAGCTCACCTGATCTGAAGTTCCCAGAAAAGCTGTTAATTGTTCCCTACTTCCATGAAATGAGGGGAGCTGGGGACAGGAATGGCTGTTGTATTGTTGCAGCACCAGCCCCGTGGAATGATTTCTGTTCACACTGAGCCTCTGTGATCTATTCTCTACCACTAAGCCACTTTGGGTTTGAGTGGGGGGGGGGGAGGCAGAGAAAGGCATGCAGTGGAGACACAACTTGTGAGAGGATAAGATAAGGGTTCAGGGATGTCAATACCACACTGATTCTTGGTGCCTACAAGCTTTCTGTCTTATCTGACTTCTTGTGTATATTTTAATTCTAAGAAGTGCAAAATTGGGATGTTTGAAAGTAAGGCACTAACCTCCCACATCATCTCTATTTCCAAGTTTATTTTTGCTTTCTAAAACAGTTTCTGCAACCAGTGAGCTCCAAATAGTTTCTCAGAAAATAAAAATAGCACAGCACTTTATTTGTCCACCTGATTAGACAAAAGGAGAAAGATAAGCAGAATGAGCAATATCTTCTAGAAATGGACGGTTTTATGGGGTGGCAATTGCTAGTTTCATAAATTAGGCTTTGCAACCAGTTATGTCCCTGTAGTGAAAATTTTGTGAATGAGATACCCCTCCCAGAAATCATTTTGCTAGAGCTCCCCCAACATATTTTCAAAGCGTCAAATGTGCTTGACCAGCCCCAAAAGCCACTAACATGAAGCACATATTAATAAAGGAACAATGTTATTTTATCTATCAGAGTTTTGTGTAACAAAATGTAATTAAATTATGTTCTGTTGCTGACAGGAATGTTTGCCAGCCATTCAGTGTAGTCTGGGGCAATGAGTGGGTTTGGCCCTCATAAAGCACAACATATGTTTTATGTGGAAATAGGTGGTATTGTCAAGACGTTTTTAATCTTTAAAATAATCATACATCTGTAGCCATTTGGTGCTGGTGATAGCTAACAGGTGAGAGTATGTCCCATACTGAGTAGGTTTTGATTTTTATTTTTTCTTCCTGGGTTTTTGTGCAATGTTTTGGTGGGTTCTTTTAATTATAAAAAGTCTTTTTTAATAGTAGTTTTCAACTATTTTTGCTTTAAAATGACACCAATGGAAAGGGGGAAGGATATTAGGGGATTCAGAATCTGTACGCATCCAAGCAGCCTCCTGTTGCCCACCTCTTCATTACAAGTTCCTTTTCTTAGGAAATCATCAGCTGAACTTCTGTAGATTTTCTTGCCAATCTCATTGCTCCCAACAGAGACACATCAAGCTGGCAATATTGCTGTCTCTGTCTTTTTTGTGCAATCTTGGCAGCCCAATCTTCAGACACCAGCAAGTGGGGGAGCAGGAGGAAAAGGCAGCCCAGAAAACCTCTCTAATTGCTGTGAGAGCAAAACATCAGCTCAGGAGATGGGGGAAGTCAATCTAATGAAATAAAATCTTGTTTATTACACATGACCCATTTTTCATGCTCTTCACAAATTGAGTGAGACTGGCAGATTCCCACACATGCTGTCACTTCCCCAATGATAGCTCACTTTTGAAAAGCTTTGCTTCCCACCACCTTTTTTGTTATGGGAGAGAAAGCTCATTATCTGGGAATGTGGCTATGTACAGCCTTTGAAACACTGGAAAGTTTTCAATCACAGGATCCACAGTTGCTCTGCAACAAGATTGGAATGACCAAAGCTTATTTAGTTAAATAAAGATTCAGATGAGGAACTGTGCAAATGCAGATTCTAGATCAGGGTTTTTCAAATGTGGCAACTTTCAAGATATGTGGACTTCAACTCTCAGAATTCCCCAGCCAGCTAGGAATATACAATCTATTTGTGTATCATTTTTGTTTTTTTAACTAACTTCTCAAGTTTTTCCCCACATAAAAATGTATTGAATATGTTCCTTGCATTGATCTTTGTATCTGATTGTATGACTTCAAGGTAAAATCTTGCCCACTTATTCAATTGACTAATTTTTGAAGTTTAATCCATGTATTTGACATCAGTAATTCATGGTCTATTGCACAGCCTGCATCTGAAAAATCCTGACAGACTGAATTACTACATTTATTCATCTTCTGTTTCCTATTATGTAGTCAGTTTGATTCCAAAGTTATGCATTCAGTGGTGCTCGAGTATAGAATTTCAATTCATGTTGTTTGAAGATGTTGACAATAAATTATGCCCTACTTATCGTCCTCATGATTGTTTCTGTGAACTCAAAATTCATAGAATGGCTCCTCCATTTCTATAATATAGGCATTCCCATCTCCTGTTAATTCCCCTGTATTTTCCACCATTGGATTTATAATAAGATCATATGTGTGTGTGTATCTTAACCTTAGAACATAACAAAATAACAGTTATTTGAAACTTCGTCAATTTCAAGTTTTCCATGATTCATATGCCTCACGACCCCTGTTCCAACTGTTTATATTCTTGTAAAACAAAAATCTTCTCTTCAAACACTGGTATGATCATAACCAGAGTCTGGCCACATTTATTTGTGTGTGAATGTTTAAGAATTTTGATTATAATGGTAAACTCTAATGCAAACTAAACTTAAGGAAAAGAGAATAGAAAGAAGGACTAAAAAGCACAAGGTAAAAGAGAGAAGGAGAAAAGTAGAAGCATAATTTAAAAAAGAAAATAAATATATAAACAGGTGAATTCCAACCTTCACAACAAGTATAAACAAATTTGGTGACTCTTCACCCCCCTCTAAGGTTACAACCATTTATCTCTTTGTCCCATTTCCCATCTGTAGTCTTCAAACAAATCCATAAAACATGTTTTCAGTCCTGGTACCAGCAGAAAGTCCTTAAAGGGTTACCAGAGGTAATATTATACAGTGAATATAAAAAGTGTACACACCCCTGTTAAAATGCCAGGCTTTTGAGATGTAAAAAAAATCAGACCGAGATAAATCACCTCAGAATTTTTTCACCTTTAATATAACATATAAGCTGTACAACTCAACATTTTATTTAGCATGTTGCTGTTTAATTCAGATTTTTAAATTCTTATGATTAATGTTTTCTTTCATTCAGAATTGGCAGACTCATTCATCTTTCAGAGTTGTTGTTCAAAGATCTCTAATAGTTTAGAAGTAGTTAAAGAACAGTTTCCAAGTGATTAAAAAATGAGGTTTGCAAACTTAGTGTCCTTCAGCGAGCAATATGTCTACTCCCATTGCCTCCAGATGTTCAAACCCACAGAAAACCATTGTCCTGCTATCTCCTCTT